ACAGCTGTCGTGGGACTGTGACAGTGAAGCGCAACTTGCCATTGATCTGAACTGCCACGGTCTGACCACCACGCGCCGACAGTACATCCGCCTGCTCTGAGGTCAGGAGGGCTGTTGGCCAAGGACAGTCAAAAATTGGGGGCACGTTATATGCATTGTCTATGGTTTCACTCTTCGGGTAGCGGTCAATTATCGGTTCGTTGAGAGATTCCCAACTCTCCGAAGCTAGAGCCGGAGCAATAGGTGCGAGAAGGCGAAGTAGAGAGGAGATACACAAGTAGAGGACCTGTGGGGACGATGGTGTTGATGAGGACAATGAATTGGTTAATTTGGTCAGGTCAGAGATAACGGTATTCAACCCATAGGGGTTATGTTCTATGCAACTGGTAACGGACAAAATGGTTCTATGGGTGAAGAGAACAGCATCTGCGTCATTGTCACTGAGATTCTGCAGAGAGTGGGCGAGGGTTGTGGCGTGGTTGGACAACGTCAGCTCATGTGGGCTCAACGTGTATGACGATGAAGCAAATGTCTCTTGCGCGTCCTGCACAAGCTTCCAAACTCGGCCAAACCAGCGTTCGACTCCCACAATCTTTGCTTCATCCCATTCAAGGACTTCACTGACAGGTGCGGAGAACAGGACGTGGGCGCGAGTGGCATCGGCGCCGTACTTAAGGGCGCATGCTGTTGGGTCCACGCCATTGTGCTTGCTCTTCGACATTTTTTCAAAGGACACATTAGGAGTGATCTGAGTACCTTTGATTACCGGCTTATCGGGGCTAGAAAGGTCCACTTCGGAGGGGTGGAGGAATCTCCCTGTAGAGGGCTCCGAGTACGTCTTCCCATGAACCATACCTTGGGAAAGGAGTGTCTTGAACGGCTCCGATGGCCCCGAAAGATCACCTACATGGGCAATCTCTGGGAACAAGTCGGATTTGGCAAGGAATTTGTAAATGAACCGGGCGTAGAGTAGGTGCAAGATCGCGTGCTCGACACCGCCGATATAAACATCGACTGGTCGTGCAGATGCCGGTGAAAACGGCTGTCGTCTGTTGGCGCTATCTAAAAATCTGAGAAAGTACCATGAGGAATCGACAAAGGTATCCATTGTATCCGTATCCCGCTTCGCAGGACCTCGACACCTCGGACATTCAGTGCGGACCCACTCATCAGACGACTCCAGAGGATTTCCTCTCTTCCCTTTTAGCCAGTCCCCTTCTATCTTAGGCAACTTGACTGGGAGCTGATCGTCCGGCACGGGCACGGGGCCACAATCTCCGCAGTGAACGATAGGAATCGGGGCGCCCCAGTAGCGCTGTCTGCTGATCAACCAGTCTCTCAGTCTCCATTGCTCCACAGCATCTCCATGGCCTACGGCTCTGAGGTCATTGATTATTTGTTGACCCGCCTCGCGGGAGTGAAGGCCCTGGTATTTCCAGCATCTTGAGTTAAGGAAGCCCTCTTGAGTATAAGCTTTCATGTCACTGGCAGGGAGATGGCCGGTGCAAGCCCCGGACTCGGCATCAGATGCACGCTGGGGCTCGATCACGACAGATATGGACTCAGGCTGAACATTCTCTTTGAAAAATGCCAGATCTCTAGAGTCATGACCTGGAACTCCCATTACTGCTCCCTCTCCGTAATCACTAAGAACATAGGGGGCTGCAAATATAGGAAGCTGGCGAGCGATGTGAGGGCTCTCCTTATCAATAATGTGTAATGGATGAGAGGCAGTCACGGTAGATAATTTATACCCGGTCTTGGAGTCAGGGGGAAGGGAGGCCGCCTCATCCAAAAACTTACGCAGGTTTGAATCTGTCTCCGCAGCCGCTAAAACGATGGGGTGGTTCAGAGATAGAGCAAGATATTCTACTCCATAGAGCGTATCTGGCCGCGTGGTGAAGACATTTATGTCCGTACTCCCGCGTCCAGTTCCCTCTGCTGCAACAGGGAATTTGATTTTTGCGCCGTACGATTTTCCCAACCAGTTGCGCTGCATAGACAGAACCCGCTCCGGCCAGCCACCGGCTAGGGAATCCAGGTCATTCAAAAGAGCTTCCTTGAAGTCAGTTATACGGAAAAACCACTGCTTTAGGTTCAACTTTTCGACCTTTGCTCCGGACCGCCACGAGAAGCCATTAGCATCGACCTAGCCACGGAGTCAGCATCGGGCAAACGCAAAACGCCGGTTGCAATGTGTACCTGTTCGTTTGCTAGAACCGTTTTATCCACAGGATCATAGTTGACCAAAGCTTCAGCCTGATATGCTAACCCTTTCTTATAGAGCATCAAAAAGATCCGTTGTGTATGTTCATAAAATTCTGGTGCACACGTCGCAAATTCCTAACGGATTGCAACAGCAAGATGTTAGCATGATCTTAGACACGAAACATCATGTTTTTGTCTCACTCGGTCCCAATCAAAGGAAGTAGATATACTCCGTAGCTGCTCCTTCATCCTGGCAATATTATCCTTCGTCCATTCTGCCGGGTCAATTCCCCGCTCTATCGCCGCATTCTCCGCTGGCAACCCAAAAGCATCCCACCCCATGGGATGGACAACTTCATGACCGCGCATGCGATAGAACCGTGCAAGCACGTCAGATATGGTATACACACGTAAGTGTCCCATATGTAGCGTTCCTGACGGATATGGAAACATGGACAGAATATAAGATTTGGGCTTCTCCGTGTTGCCTTTCGTCTCCGAGGCAATGGATGGTAGATTCGACTCCTCGGAACGCCATTTTTCTTGCCATTTTCTATCGATTGCGGGTAGGTCAAGTTTTCTGGTGTTGACTTTTGGTGTAACGGTCGTTGCGAAACGGGCTCCGGTAGGGATCGAAGGTAAACGACACCCGTGCTTCCATCGTCCGTGTGCTGGGAACGTCCTAGTCGGACCCAATCGTAGGCGCGAAAGAGACAGCATCGTGACTATCTCATCATTTTGCCATGCGATAGGTTATCTTGGAATTGATGCAATTGAGTCACTGCAGGCGGGATAAACATGGGTCCCGCGAAGTGCAACAGGTTTGTTCAACAAGCAAATCTACCCATGTTGAGGTCATACCGTAGTCAGTCTACACTAATCCTAATATGGGATAGTGTCTTTTGACTCGAGTTAGTAAACTACGGACTATGCCCGCGGCCCGCCCGCGGCAGGTACCTGTTCCTGAGGGCCGTGGAAAGATGGCTGTTGAATCCTTCTCTGCGTAGCATGCGCAGTTAATTTAAACTAGGTAGTGTGTGGTTAATAGTGCGTATACAACATTTGACCATTCTCTGTCTTCTGTAGTACTCATTAAACCTTTGCTTTTCAATGATACCAAGGCCAAATCCCAAGATATATATCAATATATCTCGTCACAACAGTTGATCATTGTTAGCTGCAAGTTTATTATTGCTACTAGGGAGACCGTACCACATCCCGTGACGTAACTGCCTGAATTGTTTGCTAGTGATGATGGACTGTTGATATCAGATAAAATTGATCACCCTAGGCTAGATGACTTGACAGTAGATACGTATCCTAAGCCAAATGCTGGCCAAGGGTACAGCGTAGCGTTCTATGTGGCTCAAAGGCACCGGCAGTACGCTGTAGCGAGTATAATACAATGGGACGCCAAAATTCAATGTCAAGGGGGGAAGGCACTACAATCGTAGAATATCCCCACTTCGATCAATACCACCCCGAAAATGGTCTGCCACCACGTTTCCACCCAGGATGGTCTCTTCCACAACTCCCTGCACATGCTTAGGTTCTATGCGACCATACCAAATTCCCTTTCCTGCGAGAGGATGCGGGGAGGAAGAACCTTTCATCGTTATACCCGGAGGGATATACACGATCACATTGCCTGCATACTTATGACCTCCTACATGGCTAATTAAACCCACATGAGCATGCCCTGGGCTATCAATTGCGTGATCGCCACTGCCTGCCAGTGTGAACCCTTTGTCACCAAGTACCCTCCGAAATTCATTCTCCAGCACCGGTGCCATTACACCGCACCGCTTGTCACGCCCACCGTGGCCGCAGATAAGGATGACAGGAGAATGATATAAATCCACAGCATCCGTGAATTTGGATGATAGCTCCGGCTTCCGAGTTAGTTCAGCCTTCCTAGCCTCAGGAAGAGACTCCGACATAGCACTGAGCTTTTTGGGGAGCAGGAAGGCTTGTACGAAGGTAGACAAGTCGGTCCCCGCGCCCGTGGAGTCTAGGATCTCGGTCGGAATAGATGGGAAATATTTAAAGCTGGGAAAGAGAAATGCAGATGCAGTGGAAGAGGTACTAGTAGAAGCAACGGACGGAGAAAAGGAAGAGCTGCTGACAAGAATGTTGTTGAAAGGCTTCATCTGTTAGCAATGTGTCCACCGGAGATAGCTGGACCTGGGCCGCTACCTACGTCAGCATAGCGTCCTCCCCGACCCAAGAGACGCTTCAACCCTCTCGCTAGGTGTCCCCAAGCATGATGTTTCCCGTCATCTTCGATACGACTTGTCCAATCTCTTTGCCCAGTACAAATGAGCATTTGCTGCGCGTAGGCTGCCATTGTCCCATTCAGCGGCTGGTTATAATCAATTGGGAGCCCATCGGGCATTGCCGGTGTTGTAGGGCATGGGCAACTGGGCTCTGGGCAGGACTTGGTCACTGGAAATGGTGGAGGGATGTCTAGAGGAACTCGCAGGGAACTTGCGTGGCGTGTGGTAGCGCGGGCTGTTGGTGTCCTGCTGGCTACCTGGCAAAGCACGGGGCGCAACGTCATGATTGACGAAATTGTTTTAACTGTGCCTCAACCTAGTGATATGCTAGGGAGATTCCGAAAATCGCATACCTTCTACAGTCCTTTACATGTCTAGGTTGGTCCGCTAAAGCGGTCGCTGTTTTTGAAATTCAGAGTCTGTGTCGAAAAGGGATAAATACCCGAGTTTCCGAGGCCTGCTCGGAGATAACGGGAATTCTATGCATTATCAATCAATCATGTGGTTTAAATTTGACCTGGATAACATCAACATATTTGAGTGCATGGGGCACAGTATCTAGAACCCGTCTCTTGGAGTCACAAAGAGGGAGAAGGAGAGGAGAAAAATCCTGTCGCCGCATGAAGCTTTCCATGACGACTTCGAGAGATTGAGTAATTCAATACAACAATTACATACTATATAGATCGTCACATTTACATGCCATAAGCCAATATATTACCTGGCTATGACTCTATAACTCCTCTTCCTACGGCCTTGTAAATGCAACCAAAGCGCTAGAAGAGTCCGTTAGAGGCCATAGCGCATAGTAGAAGCCAGTGGCCCCTCCAACAAGAATCCCATAGTACGCGATGGTCCAACCAATGCTGAGTTGGCTATACGCATAAACCGGCCCCCGATCTGTATCGCCTTTGCCTTTGCCTAATGGTGATTCGAGCGGGACCCCGGCCTCAACTCTTCCCCAAAGACGAGGAAGTCCGCACCAATTGCAGAATGCGTGAGCGAGAATGACGGCTGGTAGAGATCCTGTACGTAGATATATGAAAGTTGCATACCACCCGAAGATGGTGGTATAACCAAATTGAAAGACCGACCTGAACAGCGCCGCTATGATGGAAGTATCCGGGTGAGTTAGACGAAATTCATAAAAATGATGTACATGGGCAATCCCGAAATACAGAGGGGCTGTAAACACGATCCGGCTTGGAGAGGCCTTGGCGAGTATATGAAGGGGTATGATGGCGGAGCGAAACATGACCTCTTCAGTGACTGGGCCCTGTTTATATGTATATTGTGAGCGGAAGGATATCGATCAGTTCTGGGCCGTTGGATTTGACTCACAGCGACGTAATTTCTCCATCCGATCCACCCGCGAAGGGTTTCAGAGATCCTGTTCCCTTTGATCCAATCTCTCCACTCGCCTTCGGCAATCCCTCGCTCGAAGAGGGGCCCGGCGAACAGAATGGCGGTTAGCAACAGGCTGCGAAGAACCTCCGTGAATCCTACGGGCCACCACCCAAGAAATCTGAGAGCCTCACTCAGAGGGACATTGCCCTTGGCGATGATCAGCCATGAGACAGCTAAGGTACTCCCAATGCAAGACAGAGTCACAGCCTTAATTCTGGCCCGGATCACGGACGGTGCATCTCGGCTGAGAGTGGGAGATGGCCGAGTGGTAGAAGAGACATAGAATGGGACCACATAGACTAATGTCAGACAGATCTGCAAGATTTTGTTAGCTAATTCTGAAACGAACTATGCCTATCAGCTGTAAAAATGAGAGGCCTTTTTAGGGGGTGGGAGTTGCCCCTTTTCTAGGTTACAATGATGCTATTTTTATAGATGTTTGTTTGGGAAAAGCTAAGGCGGGAGTAGATGCCTACCGAGAAGAAAGCTGCCGTCTGGGCCGAAATGGCCGGTTCATCTGAAGACGAACGGTTAGAGGTAAACGAGATCATTTCCGATTGCCGGGCCTACCGTAGCTTTTGGCGTAGAGGGTCCTAAGACGCGCCAGGATATTGACAGGGGCCATAGCTATCTACCTGAGTCGGGTAGAATCACTGAGCGAACCCGACGTCGGAGGAATAATGTATCGAATTGATAGGTATACAAGAGTTGGATCATGTAATGTAGCAAAGTGCATCAGGGGGTGTTGAAATGACGATCCTCATGGACGTCGTTGACGATGATAATTGAGATAAAAGAGAAAAAAGACAAACAAAGAAAACCGAAGTTGTCATTTTTTGCCTGATTCTGAAGGCATCAAACCACACACAACTTCATCTACGGAGTACCGTTGGATCGTCTCTCATCATGTGCCATGGATACAGTACGGTCACTGGACCCAAGGAACTACAATCCGAGTCCTATTTCAACGTACCTCTTTTACAATGCAGTATCCAATGCATGAGAATGAAACCCCGCCCCTCATCTGCCATATCCCTATCCATTGGGTACATCAGTTAAGCTCACAATTCATCATCGAAATCCTCAAGCAACAATGGTACGTAACTCGTGTTCATTAACGCCGTCAATCTGAGCGACCCCACTTCGGCTGAGTTGGCAGCTCTGGGATGATCCTTCGCTTTTGTCTCGTTAGGATTCACGGCGAGCCTCGTGCGATCATTGGCCTGCAGAAATTGACAAAGAGACAATTTCCCCCTTTCTGCTACCAATAAGACATTCTGGAATCCTCGGCCTTCTCTGACTCGCTCAGCCACAGTTGCCCTAGTGGATCGACCCCCGGTTCATTTTGTTCCCCGAAGCCTGCAACTCCACCGTTCGGATTGGTCACAATCGAGACGGCCATCCTCGTGGAGACTTACTAAGAGGCTTTAGGCTCTGAGATAATGTGATGAGATCCCTACAGCATACAGAGACATGCTGCTGCGTACGAATGCAACACTCGACTAATGCGCAGTAGAGGGGCCTTGCATATGTTTCGCACTACTAATACTAGCCAGCCAACTGGATTTCGTTGCACCCTCCGAATTTTGACCCCCAACATTGACTATGGGCTGAAGTGTTTAAGCCCCTCCACCCTTAGTCTCAACCGGATCAACACCAAGCGAAATGACCCCGAGCCTCGAATTCCACTCCTCATTTCCGGATCGCTCGGCTCACTATTTGTGACGCTGAGAATTATGAATTATTCATATAATTAGATCTTGGAGATCGCCACATGTTTTGGAACCTAATGACGAGGGACCTTCCGATGCAAAAACAAACGCTCCAGACCTCCTGGTGAGCTGCGACTGATCCGCGGACCAATTACCTTCTCACGCGATCGGCAGGGCAATTCAGTTTAGCGGACGAACTGCAGGTCCATTCCTACACAGTACATCTTTTCTTTTTTCTTCCCCCACTAATCGGGTTGTTTCAGATGCTGCTCTAGAGCGTGCAGCTTGCATGCCCCTGGACGGATCCGTTTCCTGTTCCAGACCTTAGGCTCGCATCGTTCACCGCCGCTACTAGACAACAGGATTCTGGAGGCTGCTTAAATATTACCACCGAGGCCTGCTTGCATAACTGCTTCGTTTCAGATCTTTGGTTTTTTCTCTTCCAGTCGTTCAGGGTCTTGTCGCTCTTTTGGAAACGTGTTTTCGGTGCTTTCTGGTCTCGGTTCAACGCTCTCTTTTCTATGGTCGGCATGACTCAGCTAATCTAACTTTCCACGATTCTTCAACTGCCGGCTCCACGCTCCTTTTAATGTTACGTCCCGTTGGACGCGCCAGTCGCTCATTTGACGTCGCTTGTGTGTCGAGACATTCTTTATTGCATCACAAAAAAAATAATAGACAAACAACAAAACAACACCAGCAGCCGTCGATCGCTTGCTTCATAGACTAAATCTGCTGTCATTCTTTTTACGTCTTAGACAAGCAGCCATTGATATTATTGATCGTTTTTATTTTCACTTTTACCATTCTACGATCCTAAGCCTGCATCTTGGGAATTTTCTTTTTCTTTTTCTTCTTTATTCGTCAATAGAAACATCTGTTTTTCTGACACCCTTCTTTATATCATAACCACTTCTGCAACTGGTACTTCCTGATAATGAACTAATCATCGTCCCAACAATATGCGCTCAACTGGATCTTCAACTACCTCGTCGCCCGGACGGAGGGCTCTTCATGAGCGCACTTCTTCTCAAACGAACGAGGTTTCACCGCCACAGTCCCTACGAGCTGTTAGTGACAAGCACAATGACCAGGAAGACGAATGCGATGTTTACACGGCGACTCCGTATCCAACCAAACCAGAACACATCCTCTTGCCACGACCGGGGAAAGGCCAAGAGTTCATCCCGGATTCTAGGTTCCACATTGAGGAGATGCCGAATGAATCCAGCGCGACACTGTCAACAGAAATCAGCCATATTCTAGATAGCAGTTTGATTGAGCAATCTACTGGTGATCCATGGGACTTATCCTCAACCTTCGACGCTGCAAACACTCCACCTCAGGTATGGGAAGATGATCCTGCCTCCAGCAAGTCTTCTCTTCCAGAACATGGCCCCGCAGAGCATAGAGAAGTCGATTTCAAATCGGATGATGTTTCGTACTCGGACGAGGAACCAAATACGCTACCTGGAGCTGCTCCAACAATCAAGACCGTAATTTCCGACACGTCATCCCAACCGCCACACCGTGCAAATGCTGCATCAAGCAATTCTAGTCCCAATGTAATACCTATTGGGCCGTCGTCCAGTCCGAATTTTGTTGCGCTTGACAGTTCAAGTTTGAATTTTGTCCCAATTGGTGCATCATCCAACCCAGAAAGTGGCACTCGGTCAAATTCGCTTTCCTCTCTGAATTCACTGGGAACTGTGATCAGGTATATAGGAGCCGCTCCCTGGACCCATGGCTCATCTTCCGAACAGTCAAGCTCACGCTCTTACTCCTTTCGTTCAAATCCGCCCTATCAAGGACCATCAGCGCGCTCAAATTCCACCCGCGCACGTGAACGGAGTCACTCTCGGTCCGTTACTTCCTCTCGCAGCGATCCATCCTCAGATATTCAAGCGATTGTGGATAGCGGCGTATTTCTGCAATATCCAACCATCCATGCGCCTTCGTCAGAGAGCTCAAGGGTAGACGTTTCGCACTCTGGTGACTCACTGGACCACACCCAGCACGAGACCACGGCGGACGGTGCGTCGGAACACTTTAAATCGCACTTATCTACAGTTACGTCTCGATGGTCCGCTGAGTATGATTCGAGATCAGCTTCTCCGGCCGATCGTGCCGAGAACACCACAGAGCCATCTAGGCCTACTGCGGCGCTTGTCCGTCAGAGACCGACGTCTTCTTCGGTGTGGCTAATCAATAGCACGGACGGGGATGAATACTTAGACGATGTCTCCAGTCTTCCAGCCCGTCCTACAAATCCAGCAGTACCGAGTAGTCACTCATCCGGATCGAGACAGAGCAGTGTTCGCAGTACAAAGCGGCCAGGTACTAGTTCGAGTTTGACCTTCAATGTGCTGCCTACTTGGGCCAAAATGTATTATGGTCAACCGGCGGGCTCTGCACTTTCTTCGGTGGAGGCTAGTCGTCCATCCTCAGCACGTCCGACAACACCCAACTCCAACCCCATCCACCGTTTAACCACCGCTGCTACTCGCCCGAGGACCCGTACCAACGAAACGGGACAAAGCATACGATGGATGAGCAAACCTGACCCACGTGACCCACGGAGCCATTGGGTGAAGGGCTCTGAGGTTGCAGAGAGACCCGGACACTTTCGCCATCAATTGCGACACAGCTGGTCCCCGCATTTGTACCCCGATAGACGTAATGTTCGCCCGAGGGGGAGTACATGGGGGGCTCCGTCTATGGATTCCCGAACAGAGCCTTTTCTCGGACGCAGAAACATTCAAGTATGGTCTTTTTGCTTGGGATTCATATTCCCACTTGGTACGTACCTATTTGTACCCGAACTTGGGAAACGCAGCTTTAGTGCTTACCTGTTATTGCTCCAGCCTGGCTCATAGCAGCCTTTCTTCCTTTGCCCCCTAAGCCGGAAATGATCTTACAGGAAGACACTGAACCTGGACGTGAAAAGACACTCCAGATGCGAGTGCTTGACCTTGAACGGAAGCGGTACGAAAACGCTAGATGGTGGAGGAATCTTAATCGATGGATGATACCTCTGGGACTGGTGATCATTACAATCGTTGTAGGTGTTCTTTCGTGTGTGCCAATAACTCTTGCTAATAGTCGTTGCAGATCACACTGGCTGTTGTGGGAACGAAGGTGGGCTTCTAGTGTCTATCAACGCTCTGCAACCTGTCTTTCGGCCTTGTCCGCGGGTCATCCCGGTTGCTATTTTTTCTCTTTTTCTCCTTTCCTAGCCTTTTCTTTCCTTTTTGACCTTTTTCGACTGGATCGGACTGCGATCTTCATTATTGCTTCCTGGGAGTCGGTTTCTTCAACTCTACCTTACCTCTCGATGCCTCATTTCCGCCTTTGATACCCTCGCCGCTTCCTTAACCTTTCTACTTCGCTTTGGCTGCTTGCACTTACCTGGTTACACTACTCGACACGACTGCACGACGTGATGCGCATAATGCTTCTTTATCATTTGCTTTCGACCTTAATTCTATAAGTTGTTTGTGCTCTCTTTCGGACGACTTCCCAGATATCAGTAGGTTGAAGGGAAGCCCATGTTTGGAGCACGCAGCGCTGGATTAATTGGGATTTGACGACAGATTCTGGATATATGTACTGTTTGTTATATAAACATTTGTATATTCCCTTCCATGTATTTATCTATACATGCCTTTATTATGAATTCGAGACCAGAAAATTTACACATCAAACCAACCATGTGTACAAGTATACGCGGAGACATGCGCAACCTTCCTTTCACCACTATTAATAGGTAGTTGCAGTCGGAATATGCTGTATATATGGATTTATATGCAGACATGTCCATGTTTCATCATTGCTCCAAAGTGAGTCAAAAATGGCGATAGCGCCAAAAATGTAAGAATAAGATCTCGTATAAAAAACGCCATGAAGGGGTAGGGTGTTCGGAAGTGGTGTCCAAAACGAATGGACACTCACCGCAAACGAACCGCATGATTAACTAATTGTTTTGCCTGAACGATAGCAAGTCTACGCAATCGTAAACTCATCTTGTGACGACTGAATCTTCAACTGCTCGCTGGACATGACACGAGGACTTTACCCAGCTGATTATAATCAATTACAGTGAGAATGACATTGCGAATTAATGCCTCCGGCCTAATTTATCTTCCACAGCAGCCTTCAGTTCATCGCCTGTAGGCATATTGGCTAAGCTGCCTCGTCTCTGCCTGGACTCAATTTCGGCTCTGATTTCTTGAACTGCATCATCCAATTCCTGGATTGCATCGTTTGGTAGACCCAAAGTTGGTTGTCGTATGTTCTCCGAGCTAACCGCCCGGGGTACGTGGGGTTTATTGCGTGCTTTCAGCTTTTTGAGAAGTATTCCTTTGGCGGGACTGACGAAGAAAGTAAGGGATGCGATATTACCAACAATGCCATAGAAATAGACGCTCCTCCAGACCTTGATCGAATCACTGAAAGATAGGAAGATGAAAGGCATGACGGCAAAGGACAAGGTGAGCTGGGTCACAATATAGCTGGCAATATCATAATATTTTTTGTAGGCAGTGGGCCGGCTGCCATCAGGGGTGAGGAAAAATGGCCGAACATAGCGACGGAAATCTGTGGAAACTGATCAGAATGAAACTAATGCAATGCAGGTATGTGAGACGTACTCTTAGCTACGGTTTGGATAAATGATCCCAAAACAAAGGTCAGATAATATCCAGGGTAGAATCCGTGCCAGAATGCACTGGTGACAAACGTAGCGAGACTGGCCCGGAAGCCAGGTTTCTTCCCCTTAGGAGTGACGCGTAAATAAACATAGTTTCGCAACCAATGGTTTGTGTTTTTGTTCCAGCTCCCCAAATAGCCGTGAGAATTTTGAGCAGTTTCGAGGCTCCATGGATCAACATTCTCTAACCGGTTCCAAAACACTTTCCCCGACTTAGGATCGAAGCCATTGTATCCCATGCCAGATAAAACACAGGCACCTTCTGTGAGGTACCACACCCCGTAATACTTCAATCGGGCCGTAAAGCCGAGCATGTGTAGGATCCATACCCGTCGAAGGAAGGAATACTGCATGAATGTCTGACTGAGGACCAACTCTTGGTTGTAGAACGACCCGAGCTGCAGGAATGCAAATATCCACCCTAGCCCAGCGAACGCCTTTTTGGCGGCAGGCGTTCCACTTCGAGGGATCTTACGCTTCTTTCGAGTCGGAGGTGCCTTCGAAGGGTCCGTCCCCGGAGGCACGTCAAAGAGTGTGGTGTCGATCCACCGGCGATAGTCGACATACTCGAAAGACGGGCCAGCGAAAAGTGACGGAAAGAACAGCACATATCCTAGGTAGTCCAGAATACTGGGAAAATCTTTGATCGCGGCGTACTTTTGAGGGTCTGAAAGCTGTTCCTGGGACAAACGGCCGTCATGAACATTCCAGCAAAACGATGAAAGCTTCATGACGAGCACCATCTGGGCTCCGGTGATATCAGTTGCATGCGCGTCATCTATGACTTGTCGATAGATGTGACTGATTGACATATGGCTCATCAAAAAAATGAATCCAATCCATGGCATCAATGACCCATCAATATAATAGGCAATCGCATAGATACCAGCCGCACTGTAGGCTAGCGTCCGGAGACCGTCCCAGAGGTCAAACAGGCCAACAAGATAGAATAGTGAAACAGCGACTATGAATACATTCTTCTTCCAAGGTTGTGCGTCTGGGATTCTTTTCAATAGCGCGGCCAGAGGGTAGGAGAGTAGGAATGACGCAATAAGCTTCACTAATGCGATAGAGGGGACAGTTTAGCGACGCGGACGAGGTATGAAGCCATTGGGAGACCTTACGTTCATCAACGGAAGCCCCTGTGATATTGGCAGGATACTCGAAAACTAGAAGATAAGCAGCATGTTAGTACTGTCCAATACTGAACTTACAGGACGTTAACTGGAACAGCTCACCGAGATCTACGTATGGTAGCATCGTGCAGCACGAGGAAGAGAAGCAGAAAAAAAAAGGGAGGGAGGAGGAACAGGGAGAAAAGCTCTAGATAGGGTTTAGACGAGTATGGATGACATTGAGTAGACCCGATATTGAGAAGTTGTTGGGTAAGGGAAAAGGTTCATGAAAATGCCATATGGTCGAGGAACATCAACAGAAATCACATGCCATGATCATAGGCGGAGAACGAATACTCCAAACGTGTTTGGCGGGCCGCTTCTTTATGAGATCCACACCTCCCCAACAACAACAACTACAACTTCAGTGTTCACGCTTCCTCCGTACCTCATGTATTGTTTCTTATCGGAAATATTGAAGATTCATCCGTGACTAGCTTACTTTCAGCGCACTTGTCCCCGGTTGTGATCCTCTAACGCCTCCTCGGGGCGGTTTACCCTCACCATGGACGTCGTCGCGGCGGTTTCGGGGTATATCTCCAAGATGGTCACGGCAGGGGATCCCTCGACATCGGGCTCCTCAACGTCGGCCAAGATGAAGATCCTGCTTTTGGATAGTGAGACGGTGGGATTCCCCTTCGAGGTTACTTGCTTATCAAGAGGCTGCGGTCTAATTTGCCATGGATAGGTCACCATTGTGTCGACAGCCATCACCCAATCCGCCCTGCTGAATCACGAAGTGTACCTGATCGATCGGTTAGATAATGCGGCTCGAGAGAAGATGCGGCATCTGCGCTGCCTCTGCTTCGTGCGCCCATCCCCCAGCTCCATCCAATTCTTGATCGACGAACTTCGTGAACCCAAGTACGGCGAATATTACATCTATCTCAGCAACATCATTCGCAAGTCGTCGCTCGAGCGCCTCGCTGAGGCAGACAGTCATGAAGTGGTGCGTGCGGTGCAGGAACACTTTGCGGACTTCATCGTGATCAATCCGGATCTGTGTTCCTTAAACCTCGGCTTTCCTCAACAACGGTTGTGGAGTCACTCTCCAGACCTGTGGAATGCAGATGCACTGCAGAGAGCCACGGAGGGTATAATCTCTATTCTGTTAGCTTTGAAAAAGAACCCATTGATACGCTACGAGAAAAACAGTCTGCTGGCCAAAAAGCTGGCTACTGAAGTTCGGTATCAGTTGACTCAGGAAGAGCAATTGTTCAATTTTCGCAAGACCGACACGCCGCCAATTCTTTTAGTTCTAGACCGACGCGATGATCCTATTACACCTTTATTGACCCAGTGGACGTACCAAGCGATGGTTCATGAATTGATGGGCATTCATAACGGAAGGGTTGACCTTCGAGACGTACCGGAAATCCGACCGGAGCTTCGAGAAATTGTCCTCTCGCAAGATCAAGATCCTTTCTTTAAGAAAAATATGTATCAAAACTTCGGCGATTTGGGTCAGAATATCAAAGAATACGTCGAACAGTATCAGGTGAAAACTAAGAACACAATGAATATCGAGTCGATTGCGGATATGAAGCGGTTCGTGGAGGATTATCCAGAGTTTCGCAAGCTTTCTGGAAACGTCAGTAAACATGTTACTCTGGTCGGGGAGCTCAGCCGGCGAGTCGGCGAGGAGGATCTCCTCGATGTCAGCGAATTGGAACAAAGCTTGGCGTGCAACGAAAACCATGCTAGTGACCTCAAGGTATGTAGAGACTTGACCGAACTAGGGATGGTTGTAGACTTGATGCTGACTGGTTGCGTAGAATCTACAGCGGATAATACAACTCCCATCTGTGCCGGCCGAAAATAAGATACGTCTAGTGGCACTATACGCCATTCGATACGAAAAACAACCGAATAATGCACTACCGATCCTGCTTGATTTACTGGTCACCGCGGGAAATGTACCGTCGTATAAAGTGAACACCATTCCAAAACTACTCGCCTACCACCATTCTCTTCAGGCTCCTCCAGTTGCTGGAGGTTTCTCTGACCTGTTCGAATCGACTTCCTTTTTCTCTGGTGCTCGAGATCGTTTCAAAGGGCTGAAAGGTGTTGAGAATGTCTACACCCAACACTCACCGCGCCTAGAGGCCACTCTTCAAAATCTGATCAAGGGCCGGTTAAAGGAGCTACAGTATCCTTTTCTCGAAAGTGGAGGTCACATCCGGGATAAACCCCAGGATATAATCATTTTTATGGTGGGTGGCGCGACCTATGAAGAAGCCAAGATGGTGGCTCAGGTGAATGCCAGCTCGCCTGGAGTACGAGTGGTTCTTGCTGGTACAAGCATACACAACAGCACGAGTTTCTTGGAGGAAATTGATGACGCTGTGAGCGGCTGGCCAGATCCCGCTCCCTCTAGTGCCGCTGGACGGCTGCGGAGGGAGATTGCGCATTAAGATACTATACGATCCTGTTATTGCCTAATTGCCTGGTATCGGCGTTTTTATGCGGGGCATTCTGTTTGAATTTCGGTAGCATTTGCATGCTTGAGGGATGGAGAGATTTCATGGATTGTTTCAAAACATCTTAGTGTAACGATATTCCACAAGAACATTGTCCACCTTGAGCTGTGTATATATGTATAGATTCACGACTGAGGTTTTTAAATGCTGTAGACCTGAAACGGTGATTTATATGCCGAGACCCCGGATTTGCCCAATGCGGAGAAGAATGGAAACAAACTATCCTTCAAACAACGCGCCGAACCGCAACGGACCCCTTCTTCTTTTATTCTCTTTCCCTCCCTCTTGCATCCTCTTGATGGAGTTTCACAATTCCTCCCCCAAACCCTTAAATGCATCATCACCGTCTGCAACCGGTGTACGAGAACCTAAGCTCCATCTCCCCACCACCACTGACCCTCCGGGACCGCAGAACCCGCCGAAACCACTCGTATGGCTGGTATGACCCACGAGCTACTTCGAGGAGTGTCTGTCTCAAATCTCGACAACCCTGGCAGCTAATATACCTGGTCTTATCCTAGATCTTCGGTGCGACAGGCCATATGGGCCGCTCCCTTGTCAAGACCGCATTGTCCCGCGATGACCTTGTCGCAGCTGTGGGGCGTACATTCGAGAACAGTCCGGAGTGCATGAAGAAGCTCGAAGAAGAGCATGATAACTGCCTGGGACTTCTGTGCGATGTCCGTGCTAGAGAGACCGTCAAACGAGTCATCGATCGCACAATCGAGCGCTTTGGCCGTATTGACATCATTGCCAACTGCGCCGGGTACGGTGTGATCGGGGCCTGCGAGGATCAAGACGAATATGACATCCGCGACCAATTCGAGACAAATTTCATGGGGACGCTGAACATGATTCAGCTATCCCTGCCGCATTTCCGTGAGAGGAGATCCGGTCGGTACCTAATCTTCAGCTCAACATCAGGCGCCTTAGGCGTTCCCGGATTAGGGCCGTACTGCGCATCAAAATACGCCGTCGAAGGATTGATGGAAAGTATGCTGTACGAAGTGGACAATTTTAACATTAAGACCACCCTCGTGGAGCCTGGACACATGCGCCGTGATGATATCGGCGATCTTGTGTCTGATACTGCGATGCTGGCTAGTCAGAATGACCACGACCTCGCGTCGCCCCTCCCCCTTTACGGTCATTTTTTTGTCAAGCCACCGAGCGAACCGTACAACACGCCCACTGCGCCGGCGGCGCATGCAAAACGCATGCTAATGTGGCTGGGCGATAAGCAACCTGCCAGCGCCGTGAAAGCTGCCTATCTCGTTTGGGAGTTGGGTCATTGCTCCTATCCGCCTCTCCGACTTATTCTTGGCACATATGCTGTGGAAAGTATTCGGGATAGACTAAAGTGTATCATTGAAGAAATCGAGGATTGGAAATACCTAAGCTTTCCCCATGGTGACCAGCACCCTTCACCCACCAAGGATAAAATGCTTACAAACGCACGAGAAAACGAAGCGGGAGATACGGCGACGTGATGAGAGTGCTTTGGTAAGGTCTAAACTTGTGCTAGTAGCTAGCTCTGCTGCTTCACAAGGAAGCCCCCCTGGTTCTTACGAGTTATTATCTCAATATCTCACCTGATCGCAGCCGATGTGATGCTCAGTCGTTCAATAGGCGTGCTAGCTGTATTCCGCGTAACGTTTGACCACGGTTGTGATCCTAATACAGAAACACTGTGCCAATTTAGTCGCGACATGTTGCAGCGTAATGCAGAGACGAGCTTCCTCTCAGCTGTCAAGGCCAGCTCGTTGTAACATCTCAGACCTGTTGAGATCTTATAACCGCAGGCCTCCGAGCAAGTGGTTGACTTTGGTGAACCTAGCGCACATTAAGTTTGACCTACTGTCTCAAATATTGTGCAGACAGCAACATTTAGTATTATAGTCTATCAATATAGGCGAAACAAGGGAGCTACACAATTGCATGAACAAGCCTACAATCCCGTCCTCGCAGACCACTCGTAAGCCAGGTAATTTGATATTTATACATAATCTATAGTTCAACTAGTAAGACACTTCTCACTAACCAGCGATAGTGATCTCCAGCAAACCGCGTCCCAACCGGCAATCGTCAGCTGATGTCGCCAGGTTTATTTGCTGGATACAAGATCGTCAAGCGATTCTATTCATCTCAGCAATTAACCATGAGCATTCATAACACAGGCTTCTTTAGCATGCCATATATGTCTTTTCTTGGCCACATCTATACCAAACGTATCCTTGATAGGCCCCTCGTCATCGTGGAAAGACGCTTGAGCCTGGGGATAGGTATCCGATTCCGTGTCGGGCGAAGGTCTCACGAAGCGCAATTCCTCTACAGACGCGCCGAATTCGTACTCTCCCCGGCAAAGGATGGTTACACCGACGGTAGCAGTTGTGCTCTCCCCGCTATGTAACAGAGGTAGCACTTGCTGTAGCATACCGGTCCATGCGAGACGCTTTGACAAATCAAGGGCAACACTGTTGGGTTGATGACGAAGGCTTGGCTGGAGTCGGAGAAGAGGATGGATAGGCCTTGAGGATCGGTTGGAGATAGTGACGTTGAGACTAAGCATCTCGTCAATCTGGACCCTGTACTTTGACCGTCCGATCTGCACAACACTGTCGCCGTTAGGGCTAACTATATCAGAAGATGAGGAACTCAGGGCAAATCTTATATCAACGTCTTCGAGTCGGAAGGCGTCCACCATCCGCGCACTGAAGCGTAGGTTTCTCAGGTCAACCATTCCTTTCCGCCCCGCAGGACTCTCTTTCCAGAATCCGGATACTCTTTTGAGGAGCTCTTCTCGGTACCAGAATGCCTCACGTGATGCGGCTTCGGCGTCGAATGAAAGTTTATGGGCGCTTACAACGAACTGTCTCTTCATTCCAGTGTTTAGAACTGGGATCGAAGCATGGGGGTTATCTAGATAGACACGAGGAAGAACGAGGACAAAACGCGATGTTTGCCCTGGCTGAAGTTCTCCAGAAACGACATAGCGGCCATCTATCAACTCAGCTTCCTCTATCGACCGCTCAGACGGTTCGACAGGTTGTGAATTAGCTTGCAGTGACACTGTTAGGGGATTCGGCCAAGCGTTACGAAGATCAAGTAGCAGAAGGCAGTGATCAGAACCATATGTGCCTTGCCCAAGATGAGATAGCACAGGTGAAAACACATCGCTACTTGGCGAACATGGAGAAACATCCGTATTTGCCTTTGCGGTATACTCGGATTCCGCACCAGCCTCCCGACAGTTCCACCAGGCGAAGTCGCCACTAAAAGGTAATATATCACAACGAGCAATTTCTATGCTCGCATTGACAGTAACGGTGAGCGGGACAAATAGTTGCCGGGTATAGAATACATCAGGTAGTTCGCTGTGAGACTGTCCAACACACGAATAATCGATCTGTACGGTCGTATCTTGCAAGCCGGGCTTCCCAGTGACGTCCACAGTGAATATAGCACACTCACCAGGAGGTATTGAATGGTCACCTGGATTTTTGCCCTCACGCCGCCACCGCAAAGCGGGCTTCGACAGCTTGAGTTCAAGTTCGTACACTTCCACTGGCAGCAGATCTCTGTTGCTCAGAGCATTCTGGATTTGCCGCGTAGTAGAGTCCTGGAAAGTAAACAGTATAAAATCCAGAGGGCACGATGACGTGTTGCGCAATGTGATTTTGAAAGAACCAACTTCACCTTCCAGAACCATGAACGCGGACTGCGACAGGGAAAGCGACTCGATAAGGAGGGACGGCTGGCGGCCTATAACCTTGATCTCACAAGATGATGTATCTGGGCCTTTCTTTGGAAGCTGCTTGCCGTCCCTCGAAGTGGTTGAACCCCAGGAAAGTGGCCGTTCCATCGAAGGCTGTTTAGCTGCTAAACCAGTTCGCTTAAATTTCCTTTCGGCTTCAGGTCTCCATAAATCCTTGAAAATGGGAAACCTCCGTTCTCTGCAGTGCCGGACTTTGACGAAACACCCTGTTATATTCACCACCCCTTCTTCTTGTGCTAATCCGAAAACCGTGACGTCTTGCAAGCTTAGGGGCCGAAGCACGATCCATTCTGCAGTAGCATCGAGAGGTACACCTTCGTAGTCAAGACGGAGCTTTTCGATCTCTACTTCAAACTCATAAGGATTTTGGAGGGTAAGTTGAAAAGCGGCATGTTCACCAGCCACCATGAGTAACTCTGCTGTCTTGTTGCTTGGCTTGTGAAAAGGATTATATAAGAATGGATCTTTTGATGATTTTTCACGGTCAGCTGTGACAACGTCGAGCTCTGATTTAGATCGACGGACAGGGCTTCTGGAATCCGGAAGGGCCAGCAACTGGACACCCCGTACTAAGAAATCATCCCAGTACTCCGCTTCCAGTCCGGATGCACCCAGCTTATTTGCGGCCCCCACTGTTCGCTTAATGTTGTTTAACAGTCGGATCTGTTCGTCTTGTGGCAGACATGGAGGGGTGTGTAATGTTTCAGCAAGCATAAGGTCACCCCTGATGGTCTGAAGTAACTCGACCGTGAAGCGAAGGACGCCACCAAAATCAGGAAGTGCTTCACAAGAATTGATACAGGCCTTAAGGACATCAATCTTGAGGTTCAAGTCACCGTACCCATCGAGAACGGCGTGCCGAAACGATCGTTCAACAATAGCAACAACCGAATCATACTCAGGGAAGGACTCTGTACCATTATCATTTGTGGAGCGTCTCTTTTGCCACTCGTAAAAGGATGAAGGTTGAACGCCATATATTTCCCCTATTGTAGCGAGGAGGGAGCGCATGCTCTCTTCCATGTTCCCAGGTCCAACGTCCAGAGCATTGATATCAAAAGCTGTGTCACTAAGGGACGCTAGACCGGCAGCAGGATGAATTCCCACTTCTGCTGCACCTATCTTGCGGGCTTGAACCAGCGTTGGGACGAGTATTGACAGAAGTTCTCTCAGGATAAAGGCTTTCTTTCGTGGTAGGCCAAGCGTATCGAAAACAGAGACAACACCGATCATGATAGGTATTGCATCCGTCGGAGGCAGATCTGACCCCGGAGATAACGGCAGTGCACGGAGGAGGAAGTTTGCGATCTCGGACTTTCGGAGGATGACCAGGCCACGAGGGCGCTCCGGTCGGTGAAGAGGTTGTAGAGGTTCACCCATAACAACGTGTTTTAGGGCTATGTCATCTAATGCACCATCACGGATGCGGGCAGCTACCAACAGCCTACCTAAACGAATCACTGTTTCTGAGAAGATGAGCTGAGGCAAGGGCGCATTGGCTATATTAGCGGCACGATTGTAGAGATTGAGTATATTGTTCGAAAGGTCTGGTAAAAGGTTTGATAGATTCTGGAGCGAGATGATCCGGTTCCCAGGTGTGGATTGCCCTGGGGCCGATTCGAAATTATATGATGATTTTGAAGACTTATCGGCAACAGGGTAACAAATGGGAGGAATCTATCGATCGAAGCTTTAGTAACAGCAGCGTTCAATTGAGTATGGAGAAAGAGAGAGAGAGAGAGACGCACCTGAAAATCCATGCCTGCCCACGCAAACATTAGCAAGCAGAGTAGGATTGATTCAAGTGCTTTAGCATGCCAGACATAATCACTGCACGCTCTAGCGTTGGATGCAGCTTCAACGAGTTCCTTCAAGGCATCCGGCCACCTTCCGGCCTGAAGAAAGAGAGTTCCAATAACAACGCCTGCACGACCCTTGATCCGATTCTTAGTACGATCGGTAGCGCTCATACTGCTCACAGACATCCGGTCACGGCTATGCTCTTTGGAACTCGGCAAGGAGTTGGGCTTTCCAACAGAGTTGGAGCGGGTGGATAGTTGAATAGACCGGGTTATCTCATCAAAAGTCGTTGGAGTTTCATGGTCACTTGGGATGGGTGAGCCTTGGCTGGAACTGAGAGGTGTTTCAGGCGTACCACCGTTGGGGTTAGATGGCAGCTGCGCAGGCATGGTCATCCGGTGAAACAATCTGTCGGTGGGACGTGGGCGTATATCTGGGCCCCGATGTGGGCCCCATGATGAGGCCTTTGGGGATTCGATTGAAGGTATGCTCTGCATAGTCCTCGCAAACCCGTCTAGCTCGGAAAGAAGCAGAGAGGTGATATCACATAACACAGTCTTCATTGTAGTAGCTTTAGAGGCTTCAGGCCGAGGAATCCATAAGATATCATCTGGACCGTTTAAAAGCTTGTTCACCTCTTCATGATCGAATATTAGGAGTTGGTGTACCAAGGCTTTTGGGTTCTTCTCCCTGAGTAATTCTAGTTCCTGTCGAAGTTGATCCAGTCCAGCCGGAGTGGGAGATGCTTCATTTTTGGCCTTAACCGTTGATTCTTCACTATTCTGTTCATTGCCTCCATCTAGTTCGAGCCCATCGGCTACGGCAATAACAACCAAGGGTTCTCGATGAACTTCAAAAGGGAACAACTCTAAATGCGACGTTGGAGGCACAGAGAAAGTAAGATCGTAGAGAATTATCCCTGTAGGAAACGCTAATGGGGAGAACATATCTATGAAGAGAATCAGTCAGTTACTGTAATAGTCTCTATGTGAGTAGAATACAACAGCTACATCAAAAACAGAACAGCAGTGCCTACTTCGATTGGGCCGCGCATCAGGGCTAATGTCCCCAAGACGGACAACATTTTCGGCCTGTAATCTTGCAGCGAAGCTCAAGAATCTTGACCGTTTAATCTTTCCAACGGGAAGGAGCAACGCCCTAAGGCGCGCAGGCGCAATGGGGGAAAGAGGGTCGACGCCCATAATGTCATTTGAAAGGATGCGGAGCGGAGGCAGTCGGCGGGATGCTCTGGACTGCTTCCAAAAGAGAGGTCGAACTTTCGGAAGTCATACGATAAGAAAGCGAATAGTATTGAAAAGAAAGAAGATAACCCGGGGGGCAAAAAAGGAGGTTATAACCGGGAATCAGAATTAGAGAACATCCAAAAGTGACCTTTTGGCCACGCTTGACCGAGAGGGACGATCGCCGCACTTCAGATGGAATTAAACAACAATAGCGGAGTCGATAACAGCGTATTGGGTGTTTCTCATCTGCCGTACCCCGTTCCTGTAAACTACAGGGGTATACACGCTTATGTTATCCAGGGCCCCAGGCACCCACTTCCCTGTCTGATAAGACTGATAAATACCTTTTAACTCCGCAGTCTCTCCGACTATGACTTTCGCCATTCTGACGGTTCATAGAACCGCTTCCCTCCTACTTCATTACCTGTCATTTCATCATTATTGCCTATTAATCGACCATAAGGTTGTGTCTTCTTCATATTTGTAGACCGTCTGGATGACTTCTTGGAGATCTGTTTTGTCGTTCACATTTCATTGTTATCAACAATCGTAACCTATGCCTGTTTGAGCTGTTCCTTTGCTGAGCAACTCTTCCTCCTTTCACCTTCCCAACCATATTCAGTGACGTCCATGAAGGGTTTCTGGTATGGTACGACCTTGATTGCATAATGACGCAGAATATAGATTTCAACGCGCTAAGAGCGCGTACTATGGGATCGGGCAATGACGAGGAGGCTGTGACGGTTGATACACGGGGCCTGATCTCAAAAGTACTTGCGCGATACTCAGGGAAATGGTAAGTGTTGCTGGTTCTTGACTAGTGGGTTTATAGGATAGTTACTGATCCATAAACAGGACAGTCTTGCGAGAAATGATTCAGAATGCGGCTGATGCTAATGCTACAAAAGTGACCATAAAGTTCGAGACCTTACCCTCTGCAGTGGTCCCTTTACCTTCGCATGCCGATAACACCACATTGATAAAGCATACTATCTCTCATCATACTCTCAGGCGACTCTTGATATCGAACAACGGTTCTCCTTTCAGTGAGAAGGACTGGGCAAGATTAAAGCGAATCGCGGATGGTAATCCCGATGAAACAAAAATTGGAGCTTTTGGAGTCGGTTTTTACAGCGTTTTTGATGACTGTGAAGAGCCGTTTGTGTCGTCTGGGAAAGAGGCCATGGCCTTTTACTGGAAAGGGAATGCTCTCTATACTCGTCGATTGCAACTAAATGACGCCGCAAATCCTGAAACGACATTTGTGTTAGATTACCGCAATGATGCTTCTCCTGTTCCGTCTTTAATGGAGTTATGTCAATTCCTGTCTAGCAGTCTTACCTTCGTTAGCCTTGAGAGTATAGAGTTATGGCTAGACGACTGGAACCTACTGCGGCTGACGAAGAAGGCCGCTCCAAGCATCGATCTCTCAATCCCCAGAGACATCGAAACTAAGACATCTCAAGGTCTGATGAAAATAGTTAACGTGTCCCGTGAAGTCGTTCAGGTTGATGCTACGTGGATGCGGGCTGTTGAATGGAATCCGCACGCGAACCTATTTCGCGAGGGACTTAGAGATACGGCAGGATCTTTACGCACCTTTTTCTCTAGGCTCACTGGCCAGGGTGGCTCAGAGAAACCGGCGAAGACTGAGAGCAACCCTAATATCAACGACACGGAAGACATGACTAAGTCTTCTACGGCGTCGGTCTTTCTACACATCAATACTGCGAGCATTCAATGCTCTATAAGTCAATCCCTAAGCAGCGAACTTGAACGTGCCACGCGCAAGCCTCCGCCGAAGAAGTCTACATTAGCTGTATTAACGCCTTCCTATGATACCACTCTGGCGTCCGGGGCGTCTGGGTTGCAGTCAGACATTCTTTCATCGATTCTCCCATCTAAAGCCGGTAGAGTCTTCATTGGCTTTCCCACTCATCAAACGACGGGTCTCAATGCCCACATATCTGCGCCGTCCGTTATTCCGACAGTCGAGCGAGAGAGCATTGATCTCAACACACGATACATCAGCAAATGGAACCTTGAGATGCTCAGAGCAGCAGGCATTGTTTGCCGAGTGGCCTGGTCTGCAGAGATGACCTCTATCAAGTCTAAGATACAACCAACGAAGTCATCGAAAATCCGAAAGGATGACATAGTTAGCGTACTTCCCGAAGCCATTCATACAGCGAATCAGTTCGTATTCCGTGAATCAACTCCCTCATCGGTCCTTGGTCAGACTATTGAAGATGCATTCTGGACGTGTAACAAGAATGCCTCTATTGAGGTTTTATCAACGTGTGGAATTATCCAAAGCCACCAGGCACGCATTGCTCCTAAAGATCTCAGTTTCATGGATTCCATTCCAGTTCTGCCAGATGACTTTGTATTAAATGCGAAGGACTTTGTCAGGAAGCTGACGGATTTTGGGCTTGTCACTGATATCACAGTGTCTGACATTAAACGTGAATTGGAAGCTAGCACGCTACAGTCTACTCAAGTCCCTGAATTCCTCTCTTGGCTAAGCCGAAGGGCTGTTTCAGGACAACTTGACTCTCTATCTGTCCAGAGCCTTTTAAACGTCGCAGTGGCAAATGATGAAGATAGCAGCGGTGCTGTATGCAGGTTACTTGTCTTCGCAGACATAACCAACTATCTTAATCCTCAGCGGATACCAGTGGAACTGCCTTTGCCATCTTCTGTGATGCCTTTCAAGTACACCAAATCTCTAGGTAAGCAGGAACTAGAGTCTCTCGGCTGGACTGAACTGCAAATCGTCCCTTGGATTCACTGGATAGTGAGCAATGCCGGGAACCGGAGCGTTCTACCAATTGAACAAGACATTACACAGTCTTCGTCCTTTTCTGCTCAGGTTTTACCTGTTATCTCGAAGCAATGGGATGTTCTGAGCCAGCCGTCGAAACAGAGTGTGATCAACCTGTTGCAACCGCACACAGTCATGCCAACCAAGCTGGGTATGAAGCGGCCCGTAGAAACCTACTTTTCCTCAGTACGACTGTTCGATGACCTCCCTGTTATCAGAGGCCTTAATAGTGTCAAAGAAAAGTTTCTGGCTGCTCTTGGCGTCCGTAAGACCGTTGATCTTGGGGTCATCTTTGAACGCCTGTTAAGTACAACAGAATCTTCAGATGGGGGCAGCATTAGCCAGAGAAAGTGGAGCCATGTCGATTTGATACGCTATCTTGCCTCCGTTCGTGATGACATACCCGCTAGCGATATCAAGAGGCTGAAGGACACCAGTATCTGTACTGCGGAGGTGACCGAAATCACCCATGATCCTACAAAAGACCGCCGCAAACGTTATAAGATATATGAGCTTTTCGAGCCACACGACCCACTCAGAGCTCTTGGACTTCCTGTGATTGAGTGGCCGGGCAAGTACCAGCCCAGCAGCAACGAGGGTAAATTTCTCTCCACGCTAGGCCTGAGGAGCTTCCCATCCCCATTCGAACTAATAAAAATTATGGCAAAGGCAGCGGCAGCCAAAGACTGGACTCTTCATGGGAAAGCTATGTCTTACTATATTGCCGAGTATCATAATAACGGTTACGCCGCGTTCAACTGCGAAGAAGTCACTGTTCCTTTTCTACCTATCGAAGGATCCGATAGTCTTAGCATTCCAAGTCAGTGCTTCACTGATAAATCTGCTACTTTATTTGGCTTTGAAATCTTACGGGATACCCTTCACCCTCATGCTCCCAAATTCGGAGTCAAACAGCATCCGCCACTAACTGAATGCCTGAATTGTCTACTTCGGCAACCACCCTCTACTAAGCGGGACGCACGGGTGATTTTCAAATATTTAGCTGGGAGAGTATCGGAGCTTAAGCCGCGAGATATTGATCGAGTTAGCAACGCACAAATAGTGCCAGTCTCAGTAAATGCTACCCCCAACCATGAATCGAGTATACGCCGTGTAGCACCAAAGCTATGCTATCTTGGAGAGGGTGAAGATTACAGGGAGATCTTCGACTTTGTTGACTTTGGGCAAGAGGCCAACTTTTTTCTCATGGCAGTGGGTTCTAAGAGGGAACCGACTAAGATAGAAATTGCGTACATGTTGGTGAAAGAGCCGGCCAGGATATCCTCGACATTTCAAAGTGCAGACAAGTATCTCAAGTTACTGAGAACGCTTGCCGAAAATATCTCTGTGCTCAAGAAAGACCGGGGACTCCTTAACGAAATGAGATGCTCTGCATTCCTTTTAGCGAGTAGAGATATATCCTCTCTGTCTCACGGGAATTCGGGAAAAGGCGGTCTTGGCTCTGAAGAAGATGATGACGAACAGAGCATAAAGGAGTGGACTTTGGCTGCAGCGAAGGACACGGTGGTGGTGGATGATTTCCAGAGTTTCAATCTGTTCAAGGAACATATTCTCGCCGCGCCTCAGGAGGAAACACTAGAGAACTTTTATCTTGCTCTGGGTGCTGTACCGCTGAAAACCCTTGTTGAAGAACGTGCTCACTGGGGAGCAGTTGCCTCAGATCAACTGCCTGCAGCAAAATTACAGAAGTTGATTCATGAGCGCTCAAGACTCTTCCTCCACGATCAACCCGCTGAAACTATACAACACGACGTCAGGTGGCTGGAAAAGAACCTTCGAGTCCAAGTCGTCCATTCGATATCCCTCACCCGCTCCCTTAAAGGTCGTCGAGTTTCACATACCCAGAAGCGAAGTGCCATCATTACTCGGCAATCAACGTCCTGGGTCTTGTGGATCTCCCCAGGCAAATATGATCTTTATGAGATAAGTCAAGCTCTCGTTCACCTGATCCTTGTCCGGCCGAAGCTTCACTCGACTCTCACGTTGGAAATGCTCCTCAAAACTGATCTGTTGGAGCTCAAGGCCCGTGGCTACAACGTTGAGCGCATTCTTAAGCAAAAGGCTCACGAGGCAAGGATGGCAGAGGATAGGCGTCAGAAGCAGTTGGAGGAGGAGCGACAACAGCTCCAGGAGAGGGAAGCTGCATGGGCGCAGGAACGGGCTCAAGCCCAGGTGGAAACAGAAGACAAACGACAACCTTTGATGCCTGGGGATTTCCCTGACTCGCCATCGCCATCCGGCAAGGATATCGGCCCCAGTTCACAGGGAGAAGCATTAGAGCAAAGCCAAGACCGGCGCCCACGGGGTCTTTTCGCCAATTTAACCAAACGTTTTGGACTCGACAATGGTCGACCAACATGGAACCCCCTTGTTGGGGATTCATCCCAGCCATCCGCAGAGTCTTCAAATAACACCACCCCTCCTCCCCCATATTCGGCCGAAGACCCACAAAAATCTCGCACAGAACAGCCTGTGACCGTCAGCTCCCCGCATAAGCTTCAATCAGAGCTTCTTTCCGCAATCCAGGCTTGTCGACCTCATGGATCATCAGGCGTATACAGTCGCCCAGAAACGAACCAAGTCACTGAGTCTAAATCCTATTGTGATGAGAGACCCAGTCACGATCTAGAATTTGTGGCAACCCTTCCTTGCGGTATTCATGTACTCTTCGTGAAGACACTTGCAGATCGGTCCAACTTTCTTGCCAAGAACAGCGCCGGAATTAACATATTTGCTTCAATGCTCATTGATTGCGCTAGTGTCTTCTCCCTGCGTGCCGATATTCTCAGTGTCTTTTATGACCCAGGCGGAAAGACCATAGCGTTCAACCGGGCCGGTAGCATCTTCTGTAATTATTTCTACTTCCAGCAACTACATGAGAAAGAGCTGCTCCAAAGTCCGGCTGCCGACAGGAGCGAGGCGCTGGTATATTGGTGGGTGATACTTTGTCATGAACTAGCACATAACTTAGTGGGAGACCATAGCTCCGCCCATAGCTTCTACAGGTATGAAGAGCACCCTATACGATTATAGAGTTACCCCTGCTAATACCCTCTCCAGTGAAGGCTTCGTGGCTCAGTACTTCCCCAAAATCGCGACCAAGCTTGCCACCGCAAATATGCAAACGTCAGCGCTGAACTCATAGCTTCTTCGAAGCTGATCGGCTGGAGCTGCTGAAACATTTCCGACGATGCATGACGGTGTCCTACCTAGTACAAGGCATGTTTTGTCTTTGATTCTCACGACAGGTATGCTTGCCAGACAAGCTCAAGCATTGATCATCAACCGATAATGTATAGATGAATAGCTGAAATACCAACGATTTATTAAATTTTCATGGAAAGCACTTGCTCAGAGGTCTCTTAAGCCGTCATGGTATGACAGGGAATATGAGCAGAAGAAGCTAGCTCGTGTGTGAAAGGGTGGGTAAACTAGGGCTTGGCTTTGCGTGGTGGAAGATCGGGAACGAAAATAAGGTGATTGCGGCGGAAGACCCATTTTATCCCGTTCTCCGTACGGGCACCCGATTTAGGTTTTCCGGTGTTTGCCGCTCCGTCCCTAGGTTTTATCTTATTTTTTAGGTAAAAGTGATCAGATCAGGTCTGGCAAACCAAGTCTCTCAAAAACTTTAGACTCAACCAACTTCTTTCTCTTTCTTCCCCTTCCTTTTCTTGCTTCCAAGGCTGTTGAATTATCATCAGATCTGTTTGTCAAAGATCTACTGACATTTTACACTATCTTGTTCGCTTGTGAGTCATGAATGTGGTGGTACACTGAAGAACTAAAGGAGACTCTTGGAGTATCGCCACTTTGGGTTTCTATATTCATTCCACTATGAACTTCTGTTGACCTCTAGTGCTCGAGTCTCATCTCATACATTGTGCTTGTTGCTAGTCATTATCCACTTTGTTTGACCCATAGCTTGTATTCTCGTTGTCTTGGTCTTTACTCCCTGTTTTCTTTGTGAGGTTATAGAAGCTACAGTTCATCCATACGGTATGGCGCCTTTACTAGGCAGTTGGACCGCACCGTCTGCCGGTGGGCCCTCTAAAGCTCACCTCCATACGTCTCCCCAGAAGAACATTCTTTATGTTGATGCATATGATTCCTTTTCTTACAATGTGGTTGCTATGCTTGAAGAGGTTCTGGGTGTCAAGGTCACGGTGATGATGATTGACTCCGAGTGGCCAGGAGGGAACAAGACCGAGTTTCTGCAACGCTTCGAAGCTGTCGTCCTTGGGCCTGGGCCTGGAGATCCAAATGTTCCAGAAGATATCGGAATCATGAGGGATATCTGGGTTCTGAGTGACGCTGATTTGCTGCCTGTTTTTGGAATATGCCTTGGTTTTCAAAGTTTGTGTCTTCACCACAGCATTGCTATAGAGCGTTTACCATACCCACTTCATGGCCAGGTATATCGCATATCAACGGCCGAAAAGGACGTATTCGAGAACCTGCAAGATGTGGAGGTTACTCTCTATCATTCTCTATATGCAAAGTTGGACGATTCGCTTGAGGCAGCCTTGACCGAGTACAGTGGCGAGCAGATCAAGGCCAATGCCGACTTAGATCTTCTGGCTTGGCTGCCCATTGAACAAGATAACGTTTCTGGGAGGACTATCATTCCAATGGCGGTGCGCCATAGTGAAAAGCCGTTTTGGGGTGTTCAATTTCACCCAGAATCATGCAAGTCGGATCGTGCAGTGTGCAGTGAGCTACTAAAAAAGTGGTGGGAGTTGACCTTGGACTACAACAAGAAGCATGGGCGCGGCGGTTGTGGTAATTTGCCGGAGGACATTATCAGACGCCAAAGCGATGTGGCCTCACTTCCAGAGATAGCGTTGACCATGTTAAACTGGTGTGCGTCAACCTCGAGATCTTCAGCTTTCCGTTCACTCACTACCAGCAAGCTAAATGCTGAGTTTATATGTGAACATTTAAATGCGCCTGGGTCCCCAACAGTGTTATTTCAGTCCAACGGCAGGTATAGTATCATATCAGTTCCGGGCCCTACGAGCTGGAGATTAGAATACTATGCCCAGGCCGAGACTCTCCTAGTGGAAAGACTGCAGGCACATTCCAGTGAGTACACAGACTGCAGTGCCAAGAAGTCTTTGTCGGTGCATGACTTGTGGGAGACGCTCAGATATCTCATGGACATGAAAAAGGTCGAGTCTGGAGATGATTCTGTGCCCTTTTGGGGAGGTTTTCTGGGCTATTTCTCGTATGAGATGGGACTCGCATGTCTTGCCCGGCCAAAGACTCACAGCGATGACCCCCATGGATCGTTGCCCCCTCAAAACTGTGCTGCCACTCCTGATCCAGCAGATGTGAGTTTGCTGTGGTCCGAAAGAAGCGTCATCGTCGACAACGAAACAGGACGCATCACCATACAGTCAACGCGAAACGCTGATAATGTGTCGAATGGATGGCTTGATGAAACGTTGCAATATATAACAGAGCTTTCCCGTGCAGGCGTGCTTGAGAATGAGGACGTGAACTCTGATACGGGTTATTTGGACACCGTTCTAAGGCAATGCGTGATACATTTCCCGGACGAGCAAACATACAAGAAGCAACTCGAAGCTTGTAAAGCTGAGCTTGAAGCTGGCGAATCATACGAATTGTGTCTTACTTGTGAAACATCAATTACCTTACCATCGCCTAGCACGGACAGCGAACGTATTGCTTTCCCTTGGGAGCTATACAAACGTCTCAGGAAGTATAATCCTGCAGCCTTCAGTGCGTACGCAAGATTGGGCACCGTCAAGGTTGTCAGTAGCAGCCCGGAATGTTTTCTCAATTGGGATCGCTCTTTCACGTTGGAAATGAAGCCAATGAAAGGCACCGTCCGAAAATCGGCCAGTATGACTATGAAGAAGGCCAAGGAGATACTAGGTTCAACAAAGGAAATGGCGGAGAATTTGATGATCGCCGATTTGATTCGCCATGACCTTTACGGTATCTGTGGTTCTGGTGGTGTGCATGTTGAGAAGCTCCTTGAGGTAGAGGACCACGGACGTGTCTACCAAATGATCACGCATGTGAAAGGAGATGTCGATCCAGGTCGTCCAGGTTTTGCCGTCCGAAACGAACCCCATCTACGTTCGTCAAACATGTCTGCGTACGGGCTTACAGCCCTACAGAGGTGTCTGCCTCCGGGCTCGATGACTGGCGCGCCTAAGGAGCGTTCATGCATGCATCTCAGCTTGATCGAAGCTCGGAAACGTGGGATCTATTCCGGTGTTATGGGCTTCCTCGACCTTGGGGGCGGAGGTAGTTTCTCAGTCCTTATACGAACGGCGTTCAGCTGTTCTGATGACAAGGACAATGAACAGACATGGAGGATTGGGGCTGGAGGTGCTGTGACCATTCTAAGCACTGCTGACGGTGAATGGAACGAGATGCTGACCAAGCTTACCACTGTCTGTGGTGTCTTCGCGCCGTCCGATCTACAGGGTTCAGGCAAGGTGTAAAATGGCATGACCACTTTCCTCCTCCCTTGTTGTTCTTGTTCTTGTTCTTCTTCTTCTCTTTATTTATTTTACCCTGATTCTTGCCGAAGCTACATCTTCAGGTACATATTCAACAACACTTATATTCAACAGTTGCGGGTTTAGATCATAGGGATCGGATTCAACATTGAGCGTTGGGGTTCAGAGGCGTTTAGATATTCACAAGGTTTTTACTATATAGCATCTTTGGTAGATTTCATCAGTCCAAAAAAAAATACCCTGCTTCTTGCTTGCTTGGTTTATACTTGGGTTACGCATGAGCCTGCCAACTTAGCACGGATAGAGCCCCTGTTGAATACACAGTGCAAACAAGTCAAACATAGCTTTTAATCTCCGCGGAGGGTAATACATCATAGCCTCCATTGCACTTAGATATACACTTTCTGGCCCTGAGGTGTACACTCTACCATTTGCGCTCCTGGCTGTTGTTGTGTAGGTTGGGCTCTCTCTTACAGCTGTCAACAATCGCGATTGACTTCATGGCGAGTGCCCAAGATGGCTCAATGGAGGAGATCCTCTGGCGGTCGCCCGCGCACGTCCAAATGATGGGAGGTTTTCTCCATTCCAACAATAGTGAGCAGACTTCCCTTTCCGACCTTTTTATATTTTTCCTTTTCACCTTTAATGCACTCTCTAATCAATGGATAGTCTTATTTTACTTCGCCGAATCTCCATTCTTCGATGCTACGTCTAACAATGCCTCTCTTGCCATCCAAGCCAACTACAATGAAACACTTCGCCATTTTGTTGAGACTCGGGAGGCCTTCGAAGGTCGCCTGAAGACCATGCAGGGGTTAGAGTTTGTGGTTGCTTATGACCCTTTGCAGGCTGCTGCACAAAGCGAGACCAGTTTCGCACATGAACCATCTAATACCTGGGTGATCCGGAAACAGACGAGACGGAAGCGAGCCGGGCAAGATGATGAAGTGGTAGTTCTATCTACTTACTTCGTAGTGGGAGATTGCATTTACATGGCCCCGTCTGTTGCAAGTGTCGTGGGGAATAGACTTGTACGCAAAAATAAATTCCTCTGTATATGATCCAGCGACTGACATTCCACGTCACAATAGCTTTCTGCGGTTACATCACTCACGAGTCTCTTAAAGACTGCATCGTCACTGCCTAGTTTCACACCGTCACATGGACACACGTACATGCCGCCCGTACCCAAACCGACGGATAGCAGTCAGCCCGGGACTCAATCTCAGCAAAGCAAGGAGAACACTCCAATGCCCGACGCGGACTCCACGAAAGCTCTCTTGGTTGGGCCACAAACCGCCAATGCTGGGGCAGTTTTGCAGGACACGAGGACTTTCGCGGAATCGTTCAGTCTTCTTGCACGATATGGCGAAGAGTTTATGGATGAAAATCCCCTGGTCGGAGAGCCGGGATCATTTATCCTATCCAAATCTGGGGATACAGATCGAGGGGCTGTTTCCAAACAACCACCGAATGTTAGCCGCCCAGGGAGCATCCTTGGAACGCCTCAAGTCAAGGTCGACACGCCTGGCAAAACACCCGAGAAAGGAGCCACTCCGTCGGCCTTCGATGATAACAAGGTGCGAAAGAAGAAGGCCAAGATTGGGAGTTGAAAGAACCAGCCCAAAAATTCATGATACCCTTGTTTTGATAACCTTAGGAACATGGTAATGTACATTCCATGGATCCGTCTACAGTACACTACTGATGTAAAGATTGTAAGTAGAGTAGGTATCAACCCGTAGCTAGGGCGCCGTTTTCCCAAATCTAGTAAGTGAGCCAAATTTAAGACCCGCCTGCCTGGGTCGATGGCATACGGAGTTGTGGTGGAAGAGAGCGCGACCAGCAAACGTTTCAATGGTTCCGATGTAGAGATGTAACATAAAATGATGAACTTCACCTGTGGTGACTCATTGAACGCCATGAATCCTCTGTCTTAGCTCCCTTACATACTCCAGAGTCCTTATTCTTCTTTGAAATACTGTACCGATATATATACAAAGGTATTAATTAGTTCTAGCGGGGGCTCCGCTCAAGAATCTTTGCGTACCTCTTTGTCTTTTTTCCTTTTGTCTTCCCTTGGCTATACAGGATTGATAAATTTTACGTTTTCCCTATACAATCGATACATTTTTCATATATATAGATATATATATATATATACACGGTAGTGACTATGGCGAGCGTTCAGCAAGACAAACCTGCAGTTGTTTGTGTATTGTGAGTGAATCAGCCCCTCCCCCACCATGATCCGCGGGACATCGCAACAAATGACAGCCATATAACCAGCGTTTAAGAAGTCCGTACTGATCAACGACGGGACCCTGTAGCTGCGGCTCAGTCTCCGGTAGCAACTCCATTCACTTGGAAACAGCCCGAGCCCTTGCATATGAGTTTCACAAGAACAACATCCAACTCGTCTATGGCGGTGGCACGGCAGGCCTCATGGGCGAATTGGCCCGCACGCTTGTTTCTCTTTCCGGGCCCCAAGCAGTGCACGGGATCATCCCTCGAGCTCTGGTCAAAGTCGAGCCCGGCTATGACAATGCCGTAGAGGTGAGGAACCCTTCTGCGGTCGTAAGCGGGAAAGAAGCAGAGCGGGTCGTCAAGGTGCCCATGGGTAAGATCGGGACGCTTAAGGAGTCAGAGTACGGGTGTACCACCATCGTTCCAGATATGCACACGCGCAAGCGCATGATGGCCGAGAAGGTCCGCGAGGGTGGTCCGGGGTCGGGCTTTGTGGCGCTCGCGGGCGGGTTCGGAACTATCGAGGAGGTTATGGAAATGACTACCTGGAATCAATTGGGAATCCATAAGCTGGGCATGGTGTTGCTCAATGCCAATGGGTATTGGGATGGTGTGTTAGCATGGGTGAAGAACTCAGTCCAAGAAGGCTTTATCAGTCGGGAGAACGGCGAGATCTTGGTTGAAGCCAAGGATGTCAGTGAGGTTTGGCCCAAGCTGGTTGGTTACAAGATTAGCAATGGGAGGATGCAGTTGAACTGGGGAGAGGAGTAGGCTGGCTGGTTAGCCTACTGGCGCGAGACTTTAGCCTATCCTCGGCATGAAAAGCCATCAACGTTGGTCATATGTTAGAGGCTAGAAGGGGAAGTACAAGGGAAGGACTAGGGCGCCAATTACGAATTCATGACATGAACAACGCACTGCGTCTGGAGAGTAAATGTCGTATTATCCCGATTTCGTACTAATGCCTGCGTATAACAATCCGAGGAAAGACAGAAGAGCTGCTGCAAATCTCCAGTATTGCAATGACCAATATTTTCATATCTATGGGCGTAACCTCGAAACCTACGAATCGACCTCCATCGTCTCCTCTTCTTTCGTCTCTCCCGACTCTACAGCCTCTAGCAGCGGTACGAGTTGTTGACCCTCGTAAAGCTTGAAGCTCTCAATCTTTCCCTTTCCTTCCTCTCCGGCAAGACCCACCACACCGACAGAAGTATTATCAACAGTCAGTTCCTTGTCCTGGGACAAAGTCTCCTTGAGAGCCCGGAGACCATGGGTGATGAGCTCATCACGGGTACTGTTTGTAATCTTGTCCAGGTTCCGCTCCAAATAAGTCCGGGCCATCTGCGAACGAGCTCCGATGGCGCAGGCCAGCATTTCATGGATCATACCGGATGGTTGGAACTCGAATAGATGGGGGCCAGCTTCGTCAACGCCAGCGACGAGCAGGCCGACACCGTACGGCCGTTTACCGTAATGCTGGGTGTTTGTTTGGGCGCGGTCGGCGATCTGAGTAACGATGCGGTCCACGGGGATTGGTCGGCCGTAAGTCATTCTAGAGCCGAGTGACTGCTGCTTCATGTAGTTGGAGAGCACACGAGCGTCAGATGCAAGACCGGCGATAGCGATGCCCATGTGGGAGTCAATTTCGATAATCTTCTTCTGGTATGAGGAGAGCTCTTCGGCATTTCGCTATAGTGATCCAGACAAATTTACTCATGTTAGCAAGCCGCCCACTGTTTGTTTCTCGGCAATCCAACTGTTGATGGCATTTCGAACCTTCAGGCCGACCAGAACGGCATGTGTCTTGTTAACCAGGCCCACCACGACGGATCCCTGTTTGACGGCTTCTTGCGCATATTCTACTTGAAATATCCGACCCTGCGGGGAGCTGTCCGAAGTAACGATATTAGTGATAGAGCTTCTCCAGCTGGGACGGGGAGCTAGGTGGAACGTCATACAAGGTAACCGCATCGTTATCATAGTTGTTTCGGAACATTATGAAAGTCTGGGGAAAGTAATTATCGGGAGCGAGGAGAAATTATGATATCCAAGTACTGCCAGAGAGGGAGAGGGGCGGCGAGGTATAGTTGATGGGACAAGAGCTGGTGGAGGAGGTACCGTACTAGTAGGCAGTGAGACTGACGCGGTGACCAACGCAATTACCAAAGCTTCCGCTTGCTTGATGGTGGACTTGCCGCCTTGCCGCCTGAGGCACCAACACATTGTAGCTGCCGCCTGCGGTTCGTCCAACGTCACCTCAGCGACTGCATCGGCATCGGTCATTCCGACTACTACTCGAATAACGTCTCCATGCTGAAGGAGCGTTGCCTTCAAATCAAGCTCCACTAACCTCCCTGAGACTATACCAGCTCAAGCTCCGTTTGCGCTACCCAAATACCATTATATCGGCTTTCAGTGTCTGGACCTAGACGGTCCTGTTACTCCGCATCATGACGGCCGGCCTTAAGACAATTATCGCACTGTCGTTCGTATGTGATCCATCGAAGTGATTGTTTACTGTATATTTGAAACACAAAGAAGGAGATTACTGACATCTCTCTTTCATCATTCAGGTCCTTGCCATTGGCTTCCTACTCGTCATTCTTTCCTCAGCTCTTTGGCACAACTTCTTACCGTTGATTGTCGTTGCGACTTACGTTGTTGCTCCCCTACCCAACTGGATCTGCTCACGATGTGCGAACCCAGATGATTTTATGGACAGCTCGGGAAATGCTGCAGCTGATTTTGGGCGTTTCTTAACGGGCTTCCTAGTCTTGATGGGCATTGGTAAGTTGCTCCGAGTTCGATTGAAAATGCGCTGGGCTATGATCGATTATTGAGCTCTATCATTGATAAAAAGACTGTTTTTGGGAATGGTCTCAAGGCTAACTCCGATATTCTATAGCGCTCCCAGCTGTACTTGCGCATAGCGGCGCAATCCAGGTCCCGGCGATGATCATGTCGATCCTAGGTGGTCTCTTGATTTACGGAACAATTATTAGTTTCTCTATGTTCTTCAAGGAGCAGGAAGAGTTTTGAGTCACCATGGGTATCAACTAGTTCGGGTGAAATCACATAGGTGCGCTTGGTCGCATCTGATTTGCCAATTCACCAAACCTACGAAGGCTTCCTCTTATTCATGGAGCCATGGATTCCTTTATGAAATACCTCTTTGTTCTGACGTATGGTGAGAGTCCTTTATGTGAAATTCGCCGCGAATTCCAGCCATTAGTTTACTTTTATTCTATTCGAATGATACGATTGATGTACTATAGCTGCTGTGAGGTTATCTAGAGGTGTTAAGGGAGACTGGAGAGCTTTGAGGTACCCTTGCGGAGAGCATCCCAATGGTACATGTAAATGCCAATATGTAATACCTAGGCACATGCCTGGCAAACATCAACATCACGTGATCACGTGCCGCTTTTTCCAGGCGCGTCGTGTAATTTACAATATAGTCTAGGAAACGCTTACTTCTTCAGCTGACCAAGGTGCCTTTCTCTTGAGAATCCAATATATTTATAAGATGTGAAATATTGAATTAGAAAAGTATATCTAAAATGAACATCTGGTCTGGTGGCATCGTACTGGATGGACAATCTCAACTCCGAGGTGAGGCGGCCGATCAACCTCGATCTATAAGCTACTAAGATCTATACAGGCCTACAACTAATTGACAGATCATCTAATTGGCATTCTGATATAACAAGGGACTCAACGCTAAGTCTTCGCTGCTTTGTGAACCCAGCTTTGATACCATTATATGCGCGCGTTGGGCCAAACCTCGAATTGCATACAAATGATGCGGAAACATCGCAATGGTTAAAAACCAAATTACTTGGGGGTGTTTGGCTCGGAGAGGAGGACATGGATAGGCTCCAGACAGTTCAGTGCCCAGTTGGTCTTCTTGTGAGTGTCGATAACATGATACGAACAAAAACAGGGTCAACCACCACAGACATACTAGTGTATGGCGTCCTATCAAGCGCAACGTCATTGAAACGTCCTCCAACTCCTCCCGTCTCCTCTTCCGCAAGCTCTGATGAAAGTGCTCTACGAACTATCAGACAAGAACTGAGAATATATGCTGCTCCCATCTCCTCGTCCCTTATCATCAGAACGCATGCCCTCCCAACACCGCAAAGTACGAATGAACTTCTTGGACATGAAACACTTGCAGAATTCCTTCCAGACATCCGTTCTCCGAGCCCCAAGCGTAAGCGGGTGGCAACATTGTTTGAATCGGTTACACAACATCATAAGAGGGTGCGTCAGAAGGGAGGGGCGGGTGTGTCTCAGTTGATGGGGCACTCCCATTTACAGTCATCACACCAGTCACAAATTCTCCGCATCAAGCGGGAGTCTGAGGAACCTAGTCTTCCTTTATTAGACCGAATTGCCGCACAACGCTCAAGATCTCTCTCCGTTGGCGCGAACCTAAACCCTAGCAAGCCTTCAGAGCTTCGTACGGAGCATCCTAGGCCCGGCAGCAATCGGGGACACCCACGTGAGTTGATCAAGAGAAATACGCCCAATCCCTTCATCGAATCCTCTTTGCGGAAGGAGGGAGAACCCTCACCGGCGTTACCTTCATCTGATGGGAGGGTTGAGCTTTCATCTGCACCCAAGGATACCGAAGACGTCATTCTCGAAAACAAGAACACAATCTCTCGTACGATATTAACATGCATGCGGCTATATGGCTTCAATCGCTCGACGACGCGGTCCGGATCTTTGAACAAGAACCCGAATAGTCACGATATGCTTCCTTCTCACGCCGAAGAAAAGGATCCTCGCATCACGGCGGCAGTCGCACCTCTGGCCACGCCAACCCCAAGCACAGATGAAGACGAGTTTAAAGCGATGTACCATGCGACCTATCGCGCATCCACCTTCGCCCTACGGAAGTATCTGAAAGAAATGCCTGTTAGTCAAGGCAGCTCAAAATACTTGCCGCCTTTGCTGGATAAAGGAAAGGCAATGACGTATATTGATGAGTTCCTGAGATTATTCTGTGAGGAAAACTGAACCTGTCTGGTACAGTGAACGAGACATGATGTTACGATGTATATAATCACATCCACCTAAACAATAGATTACTTTGGAAACATTCCGCCAATATAACTTAAAGAGTTGTTGATCATTCTATACTACGTTGTCTCTGTATTCAAACAGGGAACAAAGCCACCATGGCCTACGAGTATTTGGACTTTGTAGAAACCAAGAAAGTAATATATTCCATGCATGTTCCATTAACAAGGCAGCTCTGCTAGTAGTAGTAAAGCGATGACGGTATCGGTCTTGTGATTTTCCGACCGCCGAAGTGCATCATCGCCAACCTTCCCGATAGCTACGGAAGATCCGAACTCCATCCGCATATCAAGTTTACCTCTATTGGTGTACAAGATAGTTTACACTTGATTAAAACTCTAGACTGCTACGCCATGGATGTTTCCAACAACCGTCTTTTCCGGTTCTCCAAACCGGAATGGTTAAACAACAATAGCGTCCGCAACGCAGGCGTCTACACATCGGGAGCATTGGTGAGCTTATCTGCCCGTCCTATGTCAAGGCGCAATCGTGCTGACGAAGTCTACCAAAGTTTTCTCTCGGCTTCTTCTTCTTAGTCGATGCAGCCGCATTCTCTCACAGCTCACGAAATGGGTCAAACGTGCATGTCAAATTCGTCGACTGGATCCCCGGTATTTGCTCCGCGCTCGGAATGCTTGTTATCAACTCAATCGAGAAGTCACGGCTGCACGCAGATAGCTGGAGCTACAGTGGAAGCGGTGTCGCGTGGAAAGCGCGGTTTGTACTTTTCCTTGGGTTTGCGCTATTGGCCGGCGGTCTGGCAGGCAGCGTGGTTAGTATCCCTTTACAGATCCGAATGATGCCGCGAGATAGATACGCTCTCTGTCGTGAATATTCAATGATGACTAACAGCTTCCCCAGACGGTCATGGTTCTTAAATACCTCATTAAACAATATCCACTGCAAACACTATACTTTGGAATCGCTAATATCGTTGCGAATGGACTCGTCATGATGAGGTATGCGCTTCATATCTGCCTTTTACTGGACGGTTCACTGACTGCTTTCCTCGGTAGCACGATTGTTCTCTGGATTTCACAGAACATAGAAGATGATTACACCTACAACCTTGCGTTGTAGTAACTGAGGGAATGTGGTGCTTATTTTGGGATTATATCATGATTAGCTGTTTATCTATCTTTCCCCGTTTGTTCTCCTGAATGGCTAGCGTAGTCGCGATTCATATCTCCTCTAGTCTTATGTTATGATTATGTTTGTGGGATGCCTATACGGTCAATTACATGATTTCAGTTTCCTTGTATACCCTACTCAAGTGGGCCGCATAAGTACGAGTTCCGAGCCCTTGATACCGGGAGACAATGAAGCAGGAACGGGTGTCGTACTGCATTCAGGCAACAACATATTTTGACTCGGCAGATGCATAATAACCAGTTCAATACTAGTAACATAAAGCAGTCCCGTTGACTTTTAACTGGCCGTAAAGAGTTTTATTATCTAGATATCCCTTTGTAATATGCGGCTCGATTGAAGTACAAAGTCTTCCCTCATCCATGTGTAAACTAAGCCAAGTCTGGCTATGAATACAGGAAACATGATCCCAGCCTGTACAAACGTAGCCTTGAGGCGAGGAGGCGGGATATCATTCCCAGGAATAGATCGATGGGAGCCTATCACGGCAACCCGGCATTCGTCGTCGTTATTTCAGGTCAGCATCCTCAACAGACAGTCACTGAATGAGAGTGACAGCAATCGCAGTAGATAAAACGTCTGTCTTCGAGTGAGCCCATACAGCCGCACGTGCGAGTAACCTCATCGCGCCAGTAGTGAAAACGCGCCATAGCGAGGCATTGGGACATTTCAAACAACCATATGCACGAATGATCCTTTAAGCAGACGAAGGAACGGGGTGCGCCCGCAATCTATTCATAATGGCATCCACAGCCTCCATGTCTCCAGCATCGACTTTCTCCCCCTGAGGATATCCCTCAGGCAGGTGCTTTACCAACTCATCCATAGCGGGCTGGTAGTTGCGCACGGCCGACGAAAGAGCGAACACAGCCTTCTTCCGCGTAGCGGGGTTCGAATCCGTAGTCGACATGGTGACCAGCTTAGGAACAGCGTTGAAGACGATGAGCTTATCCTGCGCCTTTTCGTTATTTTGGACGGCGGTACCGATACACCACGCAGCCATGCGTCTCATCTCTGCTTCGTCGTGCTGAAGGAGTTCAACCAGCGGCGTCCACAGGCCGAGGGGCTCGAGGTTATTTGCGTTATCAATAGACTCTATGAGCTGTTCGAAGTTGTCGAATGCGATCAGTTTGTTCTCGAGGTCAACTTCATCGGAGTGTAGTGCTTCCATAGAGGCTTTCATAAGGTCGGCGTCGGAGGGGCCACCGAAGAGAGCGGAGAGCATCTCTGGAGTGATGCCACGGGCAGCGGCATCAGTGGTAGTATTGGAGGCATTGGGGTCGTCGGATTGTTGGTTAGTGGAGTTTTTGATACTCCATTTGAGGAGGTTGTTCATGTTTGCGTCCATGCTGGGCAGGTTCTTCTTTGATTAGATTTTTGGAGGGGAAAGGAAGAAATTAAATTGGGTATGATTCGTACGAGAGTTATAAGAAAACTAAAATGGAGAAAAAAAAAATTGTAGTGAAAATAATTTAGATTGGGTATGTTGTCGAGTCTCTTTTTGTCTTCTGAATAATGAACAAAAAGAAAGGAACGAATATTTCGGAGGGGCAATTTAGTGGTGTTCTCGATGCGTCCAGATGGTTCAGGAATCTTCCCCGCCGCTTGCCCAATACCACCACAGCAAACCCTTAGATATATACATTGTAATGTTGAACAAAAACATGCTGAAGCGCATCTCGAATCCATTAATTTAGGAATTGACCACTATGGAACGCCTCTTCTGCTTCATACAGAGATGGGCTCAGAATCTGATAGGTACCAGATTTACCCCTCCATAACTTACTCGACCCGCAGGCGGGCTATGACTGATCATATACTTAACTACTGCGGACTACTCCGGAGTAGTAGGCCTGAGAAGATAACAAATCTCCTTCCTCAGCACGAACAAGACAGACTCGTGCAGACCCGCTCTTCCGATACGGATACGGAGGAAAGCTGTAGTGGATCTAAAATTCCCCGGCATGCAATGCGTCTTGGAGCTTCCAGTCACGAACCTTTCCTCCCTTTACCAACACTATATGATGTTTGTAGCTATATGTGCAGTTGCTGGAGATGGTTACGCCAAGCATAGGGGTTAGGGTAGCCCCTAATTGTCCAAGGGAATGCCAATCTTGTGTATTAGCTCTGCTTTTGAACGATTTCGATATGCTCACTTTAACATGAGGGTGTGACAATAGATAATGGGAATCGGGATCTAACTTGGATAGCATCGCATACATGCAACTAGTACTGTACATATCGACCGATACAATACAGTACATAAATTGTATCGCCCGCTTACATAATACATATTCGTCGCACAAAATCCTCCTACCCCGCGATGGGATGTCAACCCCGCGGACACTGTCAGTCCATTGTGAAGCTGGCTGGTATTGAATGACGACCGTAATTACGAAAATATTCCAACAGTGATCGACCGATTTCTCCCGGGAATTGGGCACCGGTACTATTGGTACTCATGAGAATCTCATCGGAATGGATGAAAAGGCGGTAAGTAAGGCAGGAATCGCAGCACAGTATGTACGCGCACATGCAATGGAAGATAGCGTATGGATATGACCGCCATTAGTATCGTCGCCTATCAAACCTTCAATGGGGGTGAATTAATTTCCCTTGGAAGAGACTTGTTGAAGATCAGCAATAAGCCTGACATTCAGAGACCCCCACAATCTTCTAGACCCTAGACAATGGTGATTCGCAAGAAGAACGTAAAAAAAGAGGGGCAAGGTTCAGAGGGATTGTGCTCGTAAAGAATCTGGAAGCCTGGAAATTCGACATCGTCATCATGTCCAGAGCTTATGGTGATAGCCGACCCTGATTACTTTTGTGGCCCTGTTCGCCGGGACGCTATGGGCTGAACCATTCGTAAACAGCCACAGGATCTGCCCCACGAGGATGCGCAAGTGGTTTTGCCATCCAGCAGTGCTTGAAGGAAAAGAGGACACCTCAGCTGGTATCCTTCCCGAACCGTTCTTACCTTGGAGGCGACGATAGCGGGAATTCGGGGGCGAAACTATATGGAATGGAGATCGAGGAAGGAATGGAAGAATTAACCACCGTTCCTACTAGTATCTATTTTGCTTCTTCTCTTTTGTCCAAAAGAAGAACGTCTAAAAACCAATATGGAATGGATTGCAACTGGTCCAACTTCTCTCGCTCTTGTTCCGTACCGGAAATCTATTACGGTTCATTACTGACACAGTGTGGCGGTGACAGCAGTCGGGCCCAACGGCACCACAAGAAACCCCCTATTTGCCGCCTAATCATAGAACAGCGTGGTCCCGTATAGTCCAATTTAGGCTTACCCACATACGCTCACCTAGCATGCTCCTCTAAGGCCACTCACTTGCCTTTACCCCCCTAATACCTAAATTTACCGCCAACCTCTCCTTTTCCTCTTCTTAACACCACTTCCCCCCTCCCCCCTTCCCTTTTCTGCGACTACTGCTTTTCTTACTAAATACGCTCGACCAGTAATTCTGCTCCGTCTCTCCTCCTCCACCCACACCTCAACCAACTTACTTCCACCACACTTGCTACTCTCTCCCTCTCTCACTCACTCACCCAACTTGACCTTCATCACCACCTTATTCTCTCCTCTTTCTCGTCCCTATCTTCCCACCCTTTTTTAATAGCTCTTCTCATTCTTGTTTCCTTTCCTTTTCTTTTTTTTCCCCCTCGTAGTAATCCTATTCAGTCATCATGGAAGGTACGTTTTCTGCCACCTCAGCGCCTTGCGTCTAGCTGTTCTCTTCCCCTCCCCCTTCCGACGCTTTGTCCGACCGTTACTAATATCATCTGTCTCACTCGTATAGAGGAAGTTGCTGCTCTCGTCATTGACAATGGGTATGTTCTTGTTGGTTTTTGATGGTTTTGTTGATGGAAAACCCCCCCGTGTTTTCCATCCCATTCGAGCAGCAAAACACCAGCTGCCGGCACCGGTCGCACCGATCGAGAATTCCTTTCCCGACGCAGCTTCTAGCTTTTATGTTTTCTGGAATCGCAACGACGAGATGGATTTTCTTTTATTCTCAATGCGTAAATGTGACTTGGCTCCTAAACTAACAAAACTGCCCTTAGTTCGGGTATGTGCAAGGCCGGTTTCGCCGGTGACGATGCCCCCCGTGCTGTGTTCCGTAAGTCAACCCCCGCATTAACCTGATACATGCCCCTCCCGCGCTCGCCATCTCTCTCCAAGTTCTCAGGTGTAGCTATTTGCTGTTTTCTCGCAGTAAATAAGCGCCATCTGGATGGATCAGCTGTTGACGCGTGGCCCCACATCATGAGGAACTTGATTTACTGACCTGAAATTTAGCCTCCATTGTCGGTCGTCCCCGTCATCATGGGTAAATTCCTCCGATTCTCCCAGCTAGCTACTCCAGAGCGATGGCCACTGACAATATATCAGTATCATGATTGGTATGGGTCAGAAGGACTCTTATGTCGGTGATGAGGCACAGTCCAAGCGTGGTATCCTCACCCTCAGATATCCCATCGAGCACGGTGTCGTCACAAACTGGGATGACATGGAGAAGATCTGGCATCACACATTCTACAATGAGCTCCGTGTTGCTCCTGAGGAGCACCCGGTTCTCTTGACCGAAGCCCCTATTAACCCCAAGTCCAACCGTGAAAAGATGACCCAGATCGTCTTCGAGACCTTCAACGCCCCTGCCTTCTACGTCTCCATCCAGGCCGTCCTGTCCCTGTATGCCTCCGGTCGTACCACCGGTATCGTTCTGGACTCTGGTGACGGTGTTACCCACGTTGTCCCCATCTACGAGGGTTTCGCCCTCCCCCACGCCATTTCCCGTGTTGATATGGCTGGTCGTGACTTGACCGATTACCTCATGAAGATCCTGGCTGAGCGCGGATACACTTTCTCCACCACCGCTGAGCGTGAAATTGTCCGTGACATCAAGGAGAAGCTTTGCTACGTCGCCCTCGACTTCGAGCAGGAGATTCAGACCGCCTCTCAGAGCTCCAGCCTCGAGAAGTCCTACGAGCTTCCCGATGGCCAGGTCATCACCATTGGTAACGAGCGTTTCCGTGCTCCTGAGGCTCTCTTCCAGCCTAGCGTTCTGGGTCTGGAAAGCGGTGGTATCCACGTTACCACCTTCAACTCCATCATGAAGTGTGATGTTGATGTCCGTAAGGATCTCTACGGTAACATCGTCATGGTATGTTTTTCTCCCTAGGGCCTCGGGTCCATTTCAGAGAGTAGCAAATCACTAATGAATACTTAGTCTGGTGGTACTACCATGTACCCTGGTATCTCCGATCGTATGCAGAAGGAAATCACCGCCCTTGCCCCCTCGTCTATGAAGGTCAAGATCATTGCTCCTCCCGAGCGTAAATACTCCGTCTGGATTGGTGGTTCCATCTTGGCTTCCCTGTCCACCTTCCAGCAGATGTGGATCTCCAAGCAGGAGTACGACGAGAGCGGTCCTTCGATCGTTCACCGCAAGTGCTTCTAAGGTATAGTTCACCTACATGCTTCCTTGAAATCAACCCTCACTGACCCCCTACTGCAGCTCTTGCGCATGATTAGTTTTTTTCGTCGTATTTTCCTGTATTAAAATATCAAACGGAGACTGGCGACATGCGGGCCTTCTCTGACTCGGACTAGGAGGAAGATCGCCTGAAAAAGGAACTTTGTTTTAGCTGTGGAATAGAGATGGTTTATTTGAGACGCTTGTCGCTCGATGCGGGCGCTTTTGCCGGCAGCAAGTTGTTCCTGAAAGCAAGAAGGGGAAGAGGGACGTAGGCGAAGGATGTACATGGGTCATGTGGACAGAGGGGTGAAAGCTCTATTCATATAGTTCTACACTCGTGTTTGAATCCTTATTTCCATACTGGACTTTTCTCCCTAACGAATTCTTGCCTCCGGGCTGGCCACGATTCTAAAATGCTGTTAAAACACGGGGCTCGGCTTCAAATTGACTGCGCCTTGCCACGATTGTCTAGTGTTACTTCATGGGGCCTATGTAGACTCTGCAGCAGGGGCGTATCATCTACAGCGCACTCCGGCCAAGAATCGACAGATGTACCTGGTAGGTCGTTTGCGGCTCAAGAACACCAGCCATCGTAGTACAAACCATGATGTCATTGCCGTCCACAGACCAGTCTGGGCCCCGTTCGTAAGCAAGCTGTAACTATGTTATCGCGGGCTTCTGTGATATTGTTGATGGGCCAGGTGCCCCATTGGAGATCGGACAAAAGTCATCGAGTTAGTCTAGCATCTATATAGACTTGACGTATGCATAATCTGTTCACTTTTAAAATTCTCATCTGCTTTGGTCTTGAGTTCATCCATCGTCGCACAGTAATCAGAAGAAGATAAAACATCAGGAAAAAAAAAAAAGAAAACCCGAAGGGTGAATCATCGCATATCACCGAATGAATATACAACAGTGCATCTAAGCGTCCCACGTCTCCAATCCCTGGAGGATACATCCCTCCTCTCCCTCGTTCTTATTCTTGAGCTCACCGACCTCGTAGACCGTCTCTCCCTCCTTCTGCAGCAGATCCTTGACTGCGGCAGCGGCCTCCTTCTCAACAGCAATGATCATACCCACACCGCAGTTGAGCGCACGCGCCATCTCAGGGGCAGTGACATTGCCGTTCTTCTTAAGCCAGGCGAAAACTGGCGGAAGCTGCCAGGTAGAGACGTTGATATGCGCAGTCAGCGTCGAAGGCAGCATACGAGGCACATTGTCAACCAGACCGCCACCAGTGATGTGGGCAAGACCCTTAATGGCTGACGAGAAGGGGCCGGTAGTCTTGTTGCTGGAGGGGATGGAGAGCGCTTTCAGGAGAGGCTTCACGTAAATGCGGGTTGGGGTAAGGAGGGCACGGCCGAGGGAAAGAGGTTCGTTGCTGAAAGGCATTGAGAAAGGAGCCGGGTCGTTGTAGCTCAATCCGGAGCGTTCGACGATTTTCCGGACGAGAGAGTACCCGTTCGAATGAGGACCGGAGGAAGCCAAGGCGAGGAGAACATCGCCGTCTTGCATAGCGGAGGTCTCTGGAAGAATAGCACGAGCATTGTCTCCAACAGTGTTGATCGCACCTACGGCAGCACCCACAGCATCATAGGTGTCGTCAATGAAGAGGCCAGGCATTTCGGCAGTCTCACCGCCAATGAGGGCACATCCGGCCTGCACACAACCGTTGGCAACACCGGTGACGAAAGCAGAGGCCGTGTTGACGTCCAATTTACCGCAAGAATAGCAGTCGAGGAAAAACAGGGGCTCTGCGCCTTGGACGACCAGGTCGTTGACGTTCATGGCTACAAGGTCAATACCCACCGTGTCGTGGATTCCCACGGTGTGTGCGATCTTGAGTTTGGTTCCAACACCATCGATGGCTCCGATCAATGTAGGGGAGTGAGGGTGGTAGGCAGAGTTGGCAGCAGCCAGAGAAAAGAGACCCCCAAAGCCACCGATCACTGCATCTGTACCAGGACGCTTGGTCTGAGCAACAGAGCTCTTAATCTGATTGACGAGGTCATTGCCAGCGTCAATGGAAACACCGGCAGCGGCATAGGTGAGAGACTCCTTCTGGGATTCAACAGCATCTCTTTGCCTGAAGGCACGGTGCGCGATGTCCTTACGGTAGAACATGTCTTCAAAGTGAATTGTGGAAATGCCGGAATAGCTCTTGCGGACAGCTTCCTCGAGACTCGATGCTGTAGCGGTAGAAGCAATGACCCGACCACCAGCAGTCTGGAGTTCGTTGCCAACGAGTGTAGTTCCGGCATGGAAGATCAAGGTGTCCTCCGGAACCGGGTCAAGGGTGATGGTTTTGCCCTTGGCATAAGATCCAGGATATCCACCGGCCACTGCGATGACGGTGGTAGAGAAGTCGGGCTTGATGTTGATGGAGACACCGTCGAGCCAGTGTTCGGTACAAGCAACCATGATCTCCGCCAAATCAGTGTCATCGCTGAGCAGGGGCAGGAGAGTTTGAGTCTCCGGGTCTCCACCTCTAACATTATATTCGAGGACCTTAGGGCCATTCTTCGTCATCATAAGACCGGTGAAGAGGATACCCACGAAAGGGAAACCTTGAAGCAGTTAGCGCTCTATTGGTGTAATTTTGTGCCCAATGTGGAAGGACAAACCATCTCGCCTCATGCCGTCAACTGAAGGCTGCACAATGGTGCGGTCAATCTCCTCAAGGACTTCCTTAGAAGAGATTGGGGTAGGGGCATAGCAGCCCATACCGCCGGTGTTGGGACCCTGGTCACCGTCGAAGATACGCTTGTGATCCTGTGCAGGAGGGAGGGAGCGGATAGTGTAGCCGTCACTGAAGGTGAGAACACTGAGCTCATCACCCTCGAGATACTCTTCGATAACAACCTCGTTACCAGCATCGCCGAACTGGCGGTCCAACATCATTTCGCGGAGTGCTTGGTGGGCTTCCTCCTTGGTCTGCGGGATAACAACACCCTTGCCACCAGCCAGGCCATCTGCCTTAATGACAACATTGTGGGAAATGGAGTCGATGTATTGACGGGCAGGCTCATACTCGCGGAAGTTCTCGTACGCAGCTGTGGGAATGTTATGGCGCTTCATGAAATCCTTGGAGAAGGCCTTGGAGCCCTCCATGCGCGCAGCGGCCTTGGAAGGGCCAAAACACCTAATACCAACTTATCGAAATGTCAACATGTCGTCTGTCTTGTTTGTAACTGAGGTTCTCCCCACCTGCTTGGAAATATCCTTGGATGCCATCCACAAGAGGCGCCTCCGGTCCCGGAACCACCAAGTTGACTCCGTTCTTTTGAGCGAATGCCACTAGGCCAGGGTAGTCATTGCCCTTGACATTGGCATTGGAAATCTTGCTAGGAGCCCCCAAGCCAGTTCCACCATTGCCTGGGGCGACATACACGATTTCGACCCGAGGGGATTGACTCAGCTTCCAAGCCAGGGCATGTTCGCGGCCGCCGTTGCCGACGATGAGGACGCGCAACTGTTCTTGGGACATTTCGAATGCAGTGTTCTCGAGTAAACCTAATTGAGGAAATTATTAGGAACTGGGTTTCCTACCCTCACGAGAATAGTATTGCAGAGAGGTAACATATGTGGTGGACTGCTTTTTAGGGCGGAAAGAATGGAGGGGCAAGCCATAGTATATGAAATAGTGGAAGTGCCCCTCTCTTTTATCATTGTTGAGGTTTCAATACCCAAGAAACCTCAACAAACACACAATTATATCAGAACCAGTACTCACCTCACTAGAGAGTCAACTTGAGAGCAAGCTGCATGTATAGCAAGTGTATCGCTTGGGGAAGAACCAAATCTTGAGTTCTCGGGGGTGTTAAGAGTCACCGCACCTTTTTTTTTTCTGCTGGCGGGACGGCGGGGCGTCTTTTTCTCCGACCCCGGATTTGGCTATGAGATTGAGTGTATTTTATTAGTCGTTGGTTTAGGTTTTTTTTTTTTTTTTTTTTTTTTTTTTTTTTTTGGGTTTTTTTTTTTTTTTTTATATATCCTTCTACGGAGTAATTCTGGGTGTAATTCTTTTCTTTTTTTTGTTTTTTTCCCCACTCTCTTCCCGTACAAGAATATGGATACATGGAATACATATACATGTGTGTGTAGTGAGTGTTCTGTTATCAGTACAAAGGCTAGACCAAAAGAAATCTGGAGAGATGGGGCTTGTCCGATAAGAGTTCGGCTCCGAATGAGTAGCATCTACCTCTTATCCCTTCGATACTTACGATGTTCAACACTTAGCCAAGGAATATAGAAACTGAAAAGTGTCAGAAATCAAAAGAGAACACGAACAGAATGGCTTTGATTGTCGCCCACGTGATACATACTGTATATATACCGTATGGCATGTTTCTGCCACCATCGTACTGTACTGTACTGTACATACGACCTAATTTCAGAATGATCCATACCGCCGGGCTTCTCGTCACCCCCAGAGCGGTCAGGAGCTGCACGGCAGAAAAATAAAAAAAGAGCAACTGTAATGAAGCTGCGCAACCTTTTCAACTTTCAAGCATCAACACTTTTCAACCCGCTCTTATCAATTGACAGAAATATCAGTATTTACTGCTCCTGAGGCTGCTCCGAAATACTTGACCTGAATGTTCCGGGCTTCCTTGCGGTCTGTTTCAGACCCTCTCCGCGAACATGTCTGCATCTCCTGTTTAGCCCAGAGGCTCGGAGGTCGCACTAGGCTCCGTCTGTACTCCAACACTCCATATCGCGCAAACTCGGGCATTGAAGACGCATCCCCTCGGGTTGTCTCAGAGGGTTTGTCGGCTCTAGACAAGGTACGATCATCACCGGACCATGCATTTTGCAATTCAACTGTCTACTTTGTGTCTCCCGTCGTCCAATCGCACTTTACAACTCGCCTACTCTATGGCGTATGTAACACAGACTGACTTTGCTTTGATGAAAAGAGCCCACCACTGCAGAAAGACCAGAAGAGCCGGACTCCTGGCGAACATCCAAAACAGCACAACAAGAGACTCAATCGCCTCAAATCGACTTCCAATGCTCGCGACGATGATGAAGCCGTCACCACCAAAAATGATGATGACACTACCTCGCCAACCGAGGATGGTGAGCCATCTAAGGATCAGTCGCCGCGTACTACTAGCAAGGGACCAAAGAAAATTACTGGAAAGGCTCGAAAGATGCCTGCGATCAAAGCTCGGAGAGTCTTAGCCAAGGAGAAGCAAAAGACGAAAGCCTCGAAAGACCACCCAGATCAGAAAGAACAGCGTGCTGCAGCGACTGAAGAAGATCCGGTGAGCATAACTTATGGACGCCGCATTACTGGTATCGCTAAACAATGTTAGACATCTCGTATCAAGTCGTCGCTCCAATCGATCGTTTCTCACCTGGATTCAACGAAAGCTACAAGTGTAAGAGAACAGGAAAGCCCTAAGAACCTGTCATTCGTTATGAGCTCTATACACGCAAAGGAGCATGGCAAGGTCGAATCGAAAGACCTGCAGTTAAATCGTGCGTATTCTTGTCAATTAGCTACATCGAACACACTCTAATTACCACTAGCTCTGGATGTTGAAACAGCGCCCGTTCCGCGACTCTCTTTTGGCCTTGAAAGGGTTTTGTTCAAGTAAGTACCCCAAGTGCCTGTCTCAGAAGTGGGCCCAAACTTACCTTTTTGTTCCAGCCCGGGCGTCTACCATCTTCGGGACCCCCGTTCTCGTGTCTACAACTTTGACCCCTACTTGGGCCAGATCATGCCCGTCACCGAGTTCGATTTCGATGCTTTGAAGGACTATATCACCTCTTCCAAGGATCATACGCTCCGGGATATAGCGGTGAAGGAAAAAAAGAAGTACATAGGATCATCTTCAAGCATGACCTCTGTGTTATCCCACTTTCATTATCTCCTTTCGGCATGGAGGGGAGTTGATATTCGGACCTTGTCCCAGGGCTTTCCAGATAAACTGAGGTCCTTCACACGTCTCCTTCGTGCTCCTTCAGCCATGTTTCTCCGATACCAAGATGGGGTCTACGCCATCGACGCTGACAAAGAGTTTGAGTCTGCCAATATCCTGATGAACTTGGGAAAATCAATGGAAAAACTCCTTACCTTACCGAAGGATGATTTTGAACGCTACAGGCGGTCAAGTGAGAACAAGATCTCTGCCGAGGAGGAACAGGCTATTCCTGAGTCCTATCACTATTCTACGCTTGGTGATTTCCTCATGAGGTCTCAGTTGGATGCGTATGATCCTAGGCTTCCAGGAACTGGCATGTTCGATCTCAAGACGAGGGCTGTAGTCTCAATTCGGATGGACGCCCGTAACTTTGAACGTGGTCTTGGTTATGAAATTCAAAACCGCTACGGCGCATTTGAATCCTACGAACGCGAATTTTACGACATGATCCGAGCGGCTTTTCTTAAATACTCTCTTCAGGTGCGAATTGGCCGTATGGATGGTATCTTCGTTGCCTTTCACAACATTGAGCGTATTTTCGGATTCCAGTACGTCAGCTTACCGGAAATGGATCAAACATTGCATGGCCAGTATGACACGGCATTGGGTGACACAGAGTTCCGTCTGAGCCTCGCATTGTGGAACAAGATTCTAGACAAAGTCACGGCGAAGTTCCCCGAAAGGTCCATTCGTCTTCACTTTGAAACCCGAGACGCTCAAACTCCGTTCATGTACATCTTCGCGGAACCCGTCACTGATGATGAGATCCACTCTATTCAGACCAGAAATCAGGCTGAAATCGATGCGTATCAGCGACGTGTTTTGAACCTAGCTCCCTCCGAGGAAGAAGACGCTCCATCCACAGATGGTAAAGAAGAGGTTCAGCCGTCTAGCGGTTCTGATAAGCAAGAAGGGTCAGTTGATGAAGAGACGAGCTCATCAGAAGTTGGCCCCGAGGATTATGAAGCAGAATATGACTCGTCAGCGCCACTTGACGAGGCCTTCCTCTCGGAAGTTGAAAATGAAGTCGCAGAGAAAGCCCCTAACAACGGCCGCGAGTTACTTGCAATGACTCTTGTGACTAAGAACTTTGTCAACGGTAGAATCGTTGAACGGCCTAACGACTTAAAAACAAACGATCAATGGACTGTCGAGTACGAACTAAGCGTATTGAAAGGAGAAAAAGCACGCGCCTTGTATGCAGCGTGTCAAAAACGTCGGGAGAAGGCTCTCACGGGCCGAGGAGAGGATGAACAAGACGTCGCAAACAACGTATACATCCGGCGACTACGGGAGATCAGCAAAAAGGGCCGAGACTACCGCAAGACAGAGAATAAGCTGGACAAAGAGAATGGCATCGTTGTATTGGACGATGCAGCCTAATCAGCCAACTTTGGGGATCAGCAAGGACCCAGTCATGCGTCCCATTCATTCATCCACCTTATAATACTTCTTTCTCCATTCTACAGATACCTCTCAAGATCTTATGTATAATATTGCCTCGCACTCCAGGTTTTATGATTGTGGGATTGGAGTGTTTGCATCCAGGGCGTTCGGCCTGTACCATTCCTGTATGGCGTTTGTTTGATGTTCCAACCCAGGGTACTGCGTCTGGGTTCTAGATAGCATTGTGTATACGATTGGCTGTTTTTTCTTCAGTTGGTATATAATTTACTTGCGGGTTTTAGACACCTAATCCACTCACATTCAGCGCAATCTATATACGTAATAAATCCGTGGCACTGAGAAGTTCAACGCTAGTCGTAGTGTTGAGGTTGGCTTCTGTAGCAATGAGATGCTGTGGATAAAGATAAGAGGGAGACAATAACCCATGAATCAGGACCTTTTCTCAGGTTCCTTGGATTCCAACCAGTTGACAATACTTGGTGAAGTGCAAGGGGTGTTTGTGAGACCACTACACATATACAACCCAACATCAACTTGAATCACAGCCAAGTAAAGTAACATAATCGGATCAGTCTATATTCACAAAATATATACATATATACATACATACGTAGTACCGCTATATATCCAGTCTAACACCATACTACAAAAGCCCCAAAACAATAGCCCAATTCAATCCCGTGGTTCAATCTTTCAAGACCGATGAAGATAGGTTCTATGACATTAACAATTAGGGCATCAAGTGAACTCAAAAAAGCAACGCATTTCCCGATAGACTTCACAAAAACACCTAAAGAATTTGACCCCTCAAATAGGATAGATTGCGCGGGGTAAACGCCGTCAAACCGATACGCCAAACTCGCAAATATCAATCCAAGTACGTCTCTTGGTGGTTGGATGTTGGCCTTTCCAGAGGCAGACGGAGGCAAGGGGGAAAGTAAGGTGAAAAAGATAAAAAAGACACTCGAGACAGGCCAGAGCGAACACCAGCTAGTCGAGGTCAATGTCAATTGAGGATGGCGGAGGAGGATATGAGAGACGCCATGCAATCAGAATGGATAGCAAGCAGCTTTCATCCTTCAAGCTGCAAGACGTGCGATTGAGAGAAGTGCTACCAAAGACAGGGGACGACTCAGACGTAGAGGGG